GAAACTAGTTTCAGGACGCCGATATTCTTTTCCACTCAACCGTGAAGTTTGGTGGAAAGGTCGGCGTTATGAGTTTGAACCGTTGTTACCGTTGTTGATTGTTGTAACAAGCTTCTGGAAATACAATGGAAGAGAGAAGGTCGCCAACATGTAACACAACCATAAATAAAGTACTTTAAGCAAGTGAAATTATACAGAGCAAGATAATGTTTAGATATTATGTGAAGTTATATAGAGTAAGGTACTTAATGTAAGTGACCAGTGTCCTGTCCCCTTCGCGACTCAGTCTGCTTTTTCTAATATGCGCCCCATGTAAACCGTACTTGGGGAGACACGAGGACAAAAACCTTAAATTTTGCTGTGGGTGTGGGGTGTGGATGCACGGCAGCATATGATACATTCCTCCGTCCAGAGTCGCCAGTCCTAAACGAACCATGTGCCAGGGTGTGGGTGTGGTTATAGCCCGGGAAAGCCACATTTAAGAAAAACAGAGTTGAAAATGATGTGTCTCAACCGGCAATGGGCATAGTTGAGTGATCGTGTGAATGTGGGTCTCCCGGCAATGCGCTGTTAGCTAATCCATGTTACCGTAAATAATGTGAAATATTCATTATGTAAATTCTAGAAATCCAGTTGAAGTGTTCGTGGAGAAAAGTCCAGATCACGCAAACTATAGCTGCCTCACGGCGGTACTCAAAAACATTTTACGAATTATTTATGATTATACAGACCAATTCTTTCTTTGAAGCATTTGAACTTATGAGAGGGTGAATTGAATTTATATTAATCAAAATGTATGACTATATTTTCAAAAATCAATATTTCTACCGCCGTTGCAGTAATGGCATTTTGATTTAAAGTTGAAACGTCACAATATATTTTATGGAAAATTCTTGTCCACACTTCTGATGCAATATACCAATCATACAATCCAAAGTAGTTTACATGTAGGCATAAAAAAATACAGAAAATACAAATATTTTTTTCTTAAGTGCAAAAGCTGAAATTGCCCTTTTCCATAGAATGACCATGTTTCATTTTATCTCAGAACATATGATATCATATGTTAACTAAAAACTTCAACGAGAATAAAGAAGCCGCCCACCAAAGAACAACTCACTAAAACAATTTCAATCCATTGTGATCAATGGGTGACGCTTATTAGAAAAAACTGTATTGATTCCCTTACTCATTGTGGCTTTCGCGGCGATTGGCGGCACCGAGGTTTGTACTTGAAATGTGGCTTTCCCGGCGGACATCGTGGGGTGGGGGTGGGGGTGGATGCTCGGCAGAACATGATACATGTTGTGTCCAGTCTCGTCAGTCCTAAACCATGTGCCAGTCAAAAGTGATCTCCTTATCAGATTCCGTGGACGAAGCAAACACTGTGCACAGCGGTACGTTTTTCAAATAATTACAAATTATAGGGTGCATTTAGTTAGGGGAAGTGCACCTTGTGGCCCGGATAAAAACTATGCCAAGCATTAAATTCCATGACTATTACATTGTATACACATCAAACACCACGCAACTGTGTGGATATTTCATGACATATTATGACATAATTGTCCAGTCTGCCCTAAACTCATAAATCTGCCACAGATGCCTGGTAGGCGGCCTTGATGAAAGGGAACTTAAACAAGTCACGTATTTAAACAGCGGCCACGTTTTCAAATCCCGTTACATGGCCAGGGGTCGTCTCTGCGAACTGTATTTGATAGGTAAAAATAGGATTGGGGAAGGGGGGATATGGAAGTATACAGCACTAATGAAGTGCAACTGTCACCTCCCTGCCTCGGGCATGATGGGTAGACACTTACATACTATATTTTGCCTATTGGCCTCCGGCTATTTCCCATGAACTGTCTTTTGTTTCATATTTCCGCCTTTCATATATTTTCATCATGACCGATGTAGATATCGACACTAATGCCATATATTCACGTGTGAGCAAAGATCAGTACAATAAAAAGTATTTAATAGTTTATTTAGATAATTATAACACTTGAGTTGTATTGTTGCAAGTATATACCAATATACGTAGAGAGTATAGGGAGGGCCCATTCTTTCCAGATGTTATAGAAACATATATTTTATTGCACTTTTTTTACATTTATGTACGTCAAATAATTTACAAGAATGATAGATTTAGCAAATAGGGGAAATACAATGTACACAAGAAACGTGTCTAGTATTATGGAATTATTTTACAAATTCCAATGATACTGATCATGTGGCACATCAATCATGCAGACTTTTAGTACTCATCCTTCCTGTTGACTGATTCCAGCCTGAAACATTAAGATCTGTTGTATACATGGCCACTATTGTATACGCTTGCTATCAACAACGGAAGATTTAACATGCTGAGTTGTATTTCTTACTGGGCCAACATCCCATATAAAACACTGATACTCATTGCGGTGTTTACAAGTGAGATCTCCATATGTAAAACTGAGACAGAACTCATATATGATCCTTAGTGACATGCTTGGGATGGGGTGGGGTGAGGTGTTTACAGGTGAGATCTCCATATGTAAAACTGAGACAGAACTCATATATGATCCTTAGTGACATGCTTTGGATGGGGTGAGGTGTTTACAAGTGAGATCTCCATATGTAAAACTGAGACAGAACTCATATATGATCCTTAGTGACATGCTTGGGGTGGGGTGAGGTGTTTACAAGTGAGATCTCCATATGTAAAACTGAGACAGAACTCATATATATGATCCTTAGTGACATGCTTGGGGTGGGGTGAGGTGTTTACAAGTGAAATCTCCATATGTAAAACTGAGACAGAATTCATATATGATCCTTAGTGACATGCTTGGGGTGGGGTGGGGTGAGGTGTTTACAAGTGAAATCTCCATATGTAAAACTGAGACAGAACTCATATATGATCCTTAGTGACATGCTTGGGATGGGGTGAGGTGTTTACAAGTGAGATCTCCATATGTAAAACTGAGACAGAACTCATATATGATCCTTAGTGACATGCTTGGGGTGGGGTGAGGTGTTTACAAGTGAGATCTCCATATGTAAAACTGAGACAGAACTCATATATGATCCTTAGTGACATGCTTGGGGTGGGGTGGGGTGAGGTGTTTACAAGTGAAATCTCCATATGTAAAACTGAGACAGAACTCATATATGATCCTTAGTGACATGCTTGGGATGGGGTGAGGTGTGTTTACAAGTGAGATCTCCATATGTAAAACTGAGACAGAACTCATATATGATCCTTAGTGACATGCTTGGGGTGGGGTGAGGTGTGTTTACAAGTGAGATCTCCATATGTAAAACTGAGACAGAACTCATATATGATCCTTAGTGACATGCATGGGGTGGGTGGGGTGAGGTGTTTACAGGTGAGATCTCCATATGTAAAACTGAGACAGAACTCATATATGATCCTTAGTGACATGCTTTGGATGGGGTGAGGTGTTTACAAGTGAGATCTCCATATGTAAAAAACTGAGACAGAACTCATATATGATCCTTAGTGACATGCTTGGGGTGGGGTGAGGTGTTTACAAGTGAAATCTCCATATGTAAAACTGAGACAGAACTCATATATGATCCTTAGTGACATGCTTGGGGTGGGGTGGGGTGAGGTGTTTACAAGTGAAATCTCCATATGTAAAACTGAGACAGAACTCATATATGATCCTTAGTGACATGCTTTGGATGGGGTGAGGTGTTTACAAGTGAGATCTCCATATGTAAAACTGAGACAGAACTCATATATGATCCTTAGTGACATGCTTTGGATGGGGTGAGGTGTTTACAAGTGAGATCTCCATATGTAAAACTGAGACAGAACTCATATATGATCCTTAGTGACATGCTTGGGGTGGGGTGAGGTGTTTACAAGTGAGATCTCCATATGTAAAACTGAGACAGAACTCATATATGATCCTTAGTGACATGCTTGGGGTGGGATGGGATGGGATGGGGCCACTTACCTTTCACAATAATTTTAGGGGGGTCATTCTCATTGTACTTTGCTTCTCCTAATATAATCATCATGCATCCTTCCCACCCCACCACCCCCAGCCATAACGTATGAACGGTCCCTTGTAGAACATACTTTTGTTTACAACAGACACATATAGTATATAGTAACTTGGAACTCATTAATCTCGATCATCAGAAGCATTCGCGTAGGGTGTCGTTACAACTCGAAATTCCTGTCATATCTTGAGTTGACATTCTCATGTAATGCCCGCAATGCCCTTACACTTAAACCTTTCAATACACTTTCGCAATTACGCTATATTATTGTTCCGGCGAAAATGTCGATTCTTAATATATTTATAAGAATGTGTACAGTTTTATGCATACAGCTATATATATATGCGTATGCTGTTCAGCTTGCTGACGGTATTTTAATTACCAGTTTTGAGTAGGACATAAAACTTTGTTTGAACGGTCGTACGGTCGCAGAGATCTAAACTTTAACAATCACAGAATTGCCTTCCCGTAGCTGGGTCGTGGAAAAGCGGCGTGGCAAGTTTTAATGGATCGAAGGCTGAATACGTGGTTTATGAATTGAATATTATCTTACAAAATAAATGCCAATTTACATCGTGTCATATAGACAGGCACATATATAACGGCTTAAGATTTTAACTATTTTAAACTGAAACACTTCCAGTCTGGGTGACTTCGATAAGAGTCAGATTGACCTAGTGTATTGTATGAATATGAACTTTGAACCCAATGTCATTCATTTTGTTGATGATGATAAAATAGTGCACCGATCAGAATAATATATGGATGATGTCATTTGGTCACGCTTCGCTACTGCAACACATCGCATTGTTTGTGTATGAAACGACTGACGCTATTAGATAACTCTACTTGAGCAATCTATTTCTCATGCGTGTCAATGACACCACTTGCTGTGCTAATATGTAAGCTTAGTAGCGATTCGTTGAAAATACCGGAAGTGCAGGTGCCCGATGAGAACTGACCAATCACAACAACTGTCTGATGATGTATCAATCGGCGTATGAATACCCCCGCAGGTCACATCGGGCATAGATCCTCTCTCTACGTGGTTGGTAAGTGTGGCATCAGTGTATAAGAATCTCTCGTGAAATGGTTTTCTGAAGCGTCTAGTAATTATCTTATTTGGTGATTTCAGATTAAAACGCAGCCACATTGGAGCCAGACGAAGGTTTCCCTAAACACTAGGACGGATAAACGGACGCAGTACGGTAAGAATGCTCGACCAAATGCGACACGTCGACCCGTCTGTCAAGATGGGTGCAAAGTGTTTACGTGGACAAGGACATTTCACACATTTTGCCATATTTTCGCAAATCTTACAAAATATGGATCAGCCTGCCACTTATTTCCAATCGGATTGTATGTATGACTGTACTATGGTGTAATTTGATGGCAATGCGGCTCAATTATTCATGAGTTTGTTTCGTGGGCATACGTGTCAGGTACGGGGGTATATATCAATATAGGCTAAGCTTTGGGACGAAAAGCCTGTGGGTGATGGTAAGCTTAAAATCTAGTTAAAGCTTTTCAGTCCAAAACTCTATACACTTAAAATAGAACTGCCAATTTGATAAACAGTAAAACATTTGGGATGTTAATTATTTAGCCGCAGAGCAACTGAACATCAGTTTGACTAATTGCAAGTAATCCAATCTGATACACATCATTCTTTGGTCATCAGTCTCTCATAACATTTCAGTAACTCCCGATTAAGGGAAATTGTTGTAGTTCAGATGTTTGATAGTATACGTTACACTATTTTACTGTACGAATGTTGATTAGAATTTACGAAAACATTTTGTTTGTGCAGTGTTTATTGGTGATAATTAAGCTTTCCATGATTTTGATTGGTGGACTGAAAAGTATGTTATATAATTTTATATATTACACCATAGATTCTCAAATTCATCAATGAGGAAACTATGTTCTTTGATGGAAATGAAAATCATGTGTCATGATAGGGGAATGTTCAGCACATTCCCAAAGCCATATATCTGATATGTGTAAAAGATATTTTAAAAGGGGTTTTCATAACATAAGCAATAATTTGGTGTTGGGAAAGTACTGAAACTGTGTTGTTAGAAAGTGAATATGGGAATTAAGATGGAAGTGGGCATGTACTATATTTACTGGATCCTGACCAGAAGTGCATAGGCTCTTCTTGTTTTATCTCACACTTCACATTCTGTGTAATTTTTTTTCAAATTTACATTATAGCAGCAAAGAAGTGAACATGACACATTTGGCTAAAATAGTGATGGAAATTTATGTTATATTTATATGTAGCCATAGTGTTACGCCTTTGAAGGCGTGAGATGCATTTCACTAACAGGGATAATTAACAGATAGACCTTATATTTTTGTTTTACATTTTTGTATTGAATTAATAGTTGAAATGGACATTTAGGAATATACCGATGAACCAAATTACATTTATTCTCATGTTGTCTTTCATGGACTCTGATGTACTGAGTTAAATTCATCGCCACATTGGCAATATTTTAGCCATAAATAGCGGAGTCAACAGTTTGTGTTGTATCTTAGAAAAGTCCCTGATATTTCTTTGTCTGACAAGAGCATCTGTGTGGCCTATGTTTTTCAAACATATTAGCATGATTATAGTATGACAATTTATTACATTTCAACATTCTGTTATTCTCATATTTCTATTATGTGATTGTTTTTCTTATTGCTAGCTGTCCTAGAGCAACAGACAGGTACAGCTTATTTGCTGTCATTTTCTTAAACTGTGTTTTTGTACTTTCAGCAAGTACTGTACGACTCGGCTCTGTCTACTGACTACTGAGTATAGAACATGGCAACGAACTCTGAGGCGGTGCCGAATGTGGAGGATGAGGCCTTTGAGCCACCAACATACGACGAGGCCTTCCCAGCCCTCAAGGCGGAAGTGCGAGAACCAACTCCCATCACTGATGACTTTACATGGCAGCCCAAGTTTCTGAACCGATCTAAATGTACTCAGGTGGGTTGTGATTTCTAATCGCTAGTCGTTCAGTTACACAGCAAACACTGATACAGAGCATACATATAAATCATTTTGTTATAAGTGAAGGTGACCGTTAGGGATCATCAGTGTCACAGTTACTTTATCCCATATTTTCCCTCAGAACAGGAACATTTAACACTTTTCTTTTTCTGAAGGGTAATTATTGATGCTTATCATAGAATCCAAAATTCAAATAACAGCTGATTAAGAGAAGATGTACAAAGTACTTAGCACCACAATATAAACTCCAAAGATAACCAAAACTGCAGTGATAGTACATATAATGAAAAGGAACTCATTCTTAAGAACAAATTGTTGCACTTTCTTGAGGAAATAGCTGTTGCACTTCTGAGAAATATGATGTGTTTGATGACCAACTATGAGGGAATGTGTGACATTTTGTGCAGGTCTTCACCGTACCCCTGGAAGAAAGAAGGTTCAAGGAGATGAAGGAGACCCAGTTTGGAGAAGAGAGTGAACAAGCCAAGATCTGCAAGGAAATCATGAATAAAACTGGTGAGGGAAGATCTGTTGTAGATTACTCAGCATGGTTTGGGATGCTCATTGAAATGGACAATGAAGTAATTAATGGAATAAATGAGTTTTCACCAGCTTTGTAGTGGAAGACTATCATTCATTAACACTTCCATTTCAGATGTGTCAATTGAAATCAGCTTGGCCAAGGACCAAAGTTTGACAGTAGTGATTCATGGCAAGGCACAGGACGTGATCAAGGCACGGCGTGAAGTTCTCACAAGGCTGCAGACTCAGGTGGGATATCTCACGATTCTTCTCATGTAGATGCCCAGCAGTCAGTGATTTTCAAAGTCAATCACCTTGATGTATTTTAGTATGCAGAGGTTTGCTCTGTTACATAAAAATACACCCCTTACAACTTATTAGTTTTAACCCCTTTCAATTTTATAGAATAGGTCTGTTTGCATGCTTGGTTGTGGAATGCTTTCGGTTTCATTGACATCCAGGGAATTTTGGTTAAGAAAATCTGTCATGAGCAAAGTGTGCTTCTCGTTAGAGGTGACTAAGAGGATTGGGTGGTCAAGCAAGGGTTAATGATCATGTTTTCAGTCCTGACATTGTGTACAGACTGCTTTCGCACAGCTGGAATATCTTTGAGTGCAGCATTATACATTTTTTATGGATATTTTAAACACGGTACAAAGTAATTAGCATGTCCTTTCAACATTGTAAGATACTTAGGTTTTACTATTTTTCCTTATCCTGACTCATGATCTTCTGGAACACTTTCACCTTTGTAGTTCCCTCACCCACGAGTTACCTCCATTTTCTCGCGCATGTGACCAGCCTTACTTGTCACTCTCTGGATTTCTGTATACGGCATGTGCCATGGATCAGGTGAGGAAGTCATCTCAAGTCACTGTTGATCAACCGGAGATAATGCTGGTAACCGTGTGTTGTCTTCTACTGCAGAAATACATAATACTAGGGATTTGCCGAGTACGTTGCAGGGGCAGTCGTCTGCTTTGGTTGTGATTTAACTGCTGCAAAGAAGAGGTCTATCTCGTCCGAGACGTCATCATGGCAGTCTACGAAGAAGATGTCTCCATCGACCTCGACACAGAAGAAGTCATCTGCATCCAGACCATCAGTGAAGTCGTCTCGTTCCGGTAAAACATCCCATCAGAGATCGTTTAATGAAGAAATTGTGCCGCCTGCCGAAGCAGACGTTTTTTGCTGACCCGCCGATATTTCTACTTGAAGTACCTCTCAGATTGGCAAGACGAGCGACGCAGTTGACCTCCACGATGACTAGATCGTCTCCTGCAACTACAGCAGCTGCTCAGCTGTCCAATGACCAGCCTCCAACAACGCAGACATCAGTCATCAGCGAAGTAGACATAGACAACACCTCAGCGTTCGCGAACGCTTCATCCACGTCACAGCAGTTCCAGCCTACAACGCAGAACTTCGATCCGGGCGACTTTATGAGGCAGTTTACAACTCAGATGATGGCCTTGATGGAGCGTTGGTTCGCTGTAGAAGCAGTTGTTCGGCACAATCTACGATGGCAGTCAAGGTTCGCAAACCCTCCGACCTGCGCGAACCTGAAGCAGCTAGACCCCAGAGGTTTACAACTGCAGATGAGGTTCGGAAGATCTTCACACTCAGAAGACTCTATCATCATGGAAGATGAAGGTTCGAGAAAGGAAGTTTCGAGAAGAGGCAACACAGACATCTACAGGGTTCGCGAACCTTCAGATCATCAGGCAGATATCATCAATGCAGACATCTACAAGGTTCGCGAACCCTCAGAAGCAAATATCAGCAACGCAGACGTCTACAGGGTTCGTGAACCCTTAGATCAACAGGCAGGATGATGACGTCGACTCTATTACCATACGACTGAATAAAACGAAGCAATGATTAAATATTTCAAGAATCCGCGGTCAGAATGAAAACGGATGGTTTTGTAAGCGCTTATAACTCAACAAAAAAAGATCAACAACATGTGCGATCTCTATAGCTTACAGCCTGCACAACTCTACAACCTGCACGAACCTTTCACATGTAGTAGGTTCAGTTTTGGACGACAGCCTACTTGATGAGGGGAATTCCTTCATCTACACGGATGCGGAGGTCTTATCCTGGGTGGCAGATGGCCTGCTGATATTGTCGTTCACTCACTCACTCCAACCCAACAGAGATGTACTGCATATATGCTGATGACTTCGACTCCAATATGATATCACGATGAAGCCGATGTCTCAAGTACTGGAGAACCTGAAAGCAACCTTCGTAAGGTGCTTAAGGTTAACAACGCCTTCAACTTGATTCAACATCAGTATTTCTTCAAGATCCATACAGACATATGTCTCGACAGCCTCCTTCATCATGCTGGCTTATATTATCCACAATGGGAATACGTGATTAATATCACTAAACAATATTTTACACTTGGAGCAACCCTTATTCAAGAGGTTTATATGAGCGGTGTAGAATTATGCGCGCTTGTACTCAACCAACTATTGCACCAGATTTTATGGAGGCCAACTTGCTACAACACCAGTGACGTCGTACTGGAACCTGATTGGTCCAGGACAGACAACGCCTCTTACTGACAGAACAGGCACCAGCAAGTTTACTGACTTGACTTGACGGCACGCATCTTTATGTAGACGATCGCTACAGGGATGGGGTGTGCATCTCAACAACCAAGTTGCATCAGGGAAGTGGTCGATAACAGAACAGCATCTTCACATCAATCTGCTAGAATGAAAGCTCTGATCAACGCCGTACAACTATGGTCGAGCTCACTCTACAGTGGCATTCTCCATAAATCGGCAAGGATCAACAAGATCACCAAGCCTACTTCAGCTCACATTCCAGTTGTTCAACATCACGGAGGATGCAAACATCTGGATAAAGGCGTGTCACATACCGGGAGCCAAGAACGTACTAGCATACGCTCTTTCCCGACCACTTCGTCCGTCACCCACGGAATGGATGCTCCATCAAGAAGCATTCCGGCTCATCATAAGGGAAGTAGGATCCCCTTGCATAGACCTGTTCTCCACGAGGTTCAACAAAGAACTACAGACGTTTGTCTCACCAGTAGCAGATCCCCAAGCCCTGGGCAACAGATGCACTGAACATATCATGGAAAGGACTAATCGCATGCGCATTTCCACCTCCACCTCCTAACTTACTACCGAAAGTACTGTTGAAGATCAAACAGACAAAGGCGCTACAACTGACCGCTTCCTATTGGCCAGCAAGAGTCTGGTTCCTAGACCTAATAGAAGATCTCGGAAGTCCCACCCTCAAACTACCAGAATGGCCGAACCTACTCAGTCATCCGCACACCAAGCAAGTCCACAGGAACCCAACACTGTTCCAGCTACATGTGTGGACCGTATCAAAACCTGTCTGAAGAAAAGAGGATACTCTGCCAGAGCAGCGAAAGCAGTAACCTTAGCGTTACGCAGATCTACTCGCAATTTGTATGACGACAAATGGCAGAAATTTGAACAATATGCAAGGCAGAATGGCTTCACAGCTATGAAAGCTTCTCATCCTCAAGTGGCGGAATATCTATGTCACCTTAGATATACAAGACACCTGAAAGGTTCGACATTATCCACATATCTGGCAGATATTAGTACAGTCGTCACTATGAAGTCAGGTATAAGTTGACGAAAGTACCAGAATTACTTGCTCTGCTGCCATCTATTAAACTGAGGACTAAAGAAATTCAGAGCACCAGCCTGGGATCTGAATGTAATTCTACAACATCTCATGAGTGATGCATCTAGGACAGACTACCACGACTGGAAGACTTTCTGTCTCTAGCCAAAATGAATCATGCTCCGACTTTGGACAAACTGGATTCAACCAGATGCAGTACATCTAGGACTTAGATGGGACTTTGTTAGAAAGAATCAACTACCTGGTCAACCAGATACAGTTCCATGTACCAGCGCTATCTACGATCCTAGGACCAGAGGACACCCAGGACTTATCCTTGTCTCCTGTCAGGGCCTTGAAGATATATCTTCAAACGACTAAAACAAGAAGAAAATTCAAGCGTCTATTCATCCCCTTGTCAACGGAGACATCAGTGGAAGTCTCAAGAACGACAATATCATTTGGATGAGAGCCGTTATACTAAGAGCCTACAAAGCAGCAGGATTAGACCCTCCAAGAGCTTCCAACCCACACGAAGTCAGAGCACTGGCGTCACCACTCGCTCTGCATGGAAATTGCTCTATATCATGAATTATGGAGGGCTGCTTTTGGAAGTCGGATACGGTGTTTGCCAACCACTACCTCCGAGACATAGCCACCCAAGATGTCTCCAGCATTCACCAGTTTGGGCTTCTCGTTGTAGCACAACAACTAACGGTTCCTCAAAGGCGCGCTGAGTTTCAAATCTCACCATTTAATCACGTTGACTTGTTGAAAACTTTTAATATGGAAAAAGTTCTAGTTTTGAAAGTCCATGCGCAGAGTCTAGACTAGGCTAGCATGAGTGATTAAGACTGTGTACGGGTAAAGATCTTACCTGTACGTGAAGGGGTCGCAACTCATTTATGATAAAGATCTTGTCATAATCTATGGGTTGTTATAGGTAACTAGTAAAATGAAGATACTAGTATATATTAAGCCACATGAATCTAGAAGATTCACTTGTCTGAGAGAGAAGTAAGACAAGATTGTGGTCCCCCCAAATTATAATGGAAGTTGGAAGAATAGGACCTAGGAAATGCCGTTATGCAGTTCCCATGGGGGGGGGATACACGACGTATCTATGGACAGCTGATGAATCCAGGAAGTGGTTTGACCCACCACCAATCCGAAGGATTTTATAAGCAAAGATCATGAGTCAGGATAAGGAAAAATATTTAATTTTGTAAGTAAAATTGATATTTTATACTTATCCTGACTCATGAGGACAAGCCCTCCCAACCTCCCTGCTGGAAGCACTTCAGATTTCACAGTAGATCCAGGTGCATTGGCAGAAAATCAGGAGAGAGTGACAAGTAAGGCTGGTCACATGACTGTTTGCGTGGGAAAAGGGAGGTAACTCGTAAGTGATTGTACTTTTACGTCCGCTTTAGGGAACTACAAAGGATTCAAGTGTTCCACTAACATTCGCATAGAAGAGGGAGATAAGCAAAGGTCATGAGTCAGGATAAGTCTAAAATATCAATTTTACTTAGAACATTACATTATTAACAAGATTTCCACTTCTCCACAAATTGACACCAAACGATTCAACGTCTTGAGATTCCATGGAAACATTGGAGATTGCTGATCTCCTTCTGGGTGGTTGTCACAGCCAAACTGTATATGTTGAGGAGAAACAATATTAGGTGGGAAATGTCACCATCTAATCAGATTTAACACACAATAATCTTGAAAGCGATACTTAATTTGTTTTTGCCTTGCCTTGTCTCTGTTTGAATGTCTTAACATTGTACTTGCTTCTTGTTCTCAGGCCAACATTCAAATCAAGATTCCTCGTGAACACCATCGGTTCCTCCTCGGCAAAAGTGGGAAGAAACTGCAAGACCTTGAACTTGCAACGGCTACTAAGATATACCTACCCCGTGCTGAAGAGAACTCGGACATTGTTCGAATTGTTGGAACGAAGGATGGCATTGACAAGGCCAGACATGAGATCCAAATCATTTCTGACGAACAGGTGAGCTGCCATTTTTGCTCTTTGTTAGACATTGAAGGTGATGCTAGCGCTGATCTACATAGCAGGTGTTAAAATGGCAGGTTTTAAAATGTGTTGGTTTCCAAACTAAAACAGTGCATTAGAAATCTGCTTGGACAAGAATTCAGTTTGAAACAACTAGAAGTTTGACACAATTATCAATTTTTCATTTTATGGAATTAACATGGTCCAACTGTATAGTTCATAATGACATTCACTGAAATTGTTATTTGTGACACTTCACACTTGTTTGCTGCTGATATCTTTTATGCTTGTTAGTAATTTCAATGCCAATTACAAGGAATGTTGCATCTGAACTGTGTGTATATTTTTTCTTCTGTGGGTCCCCAGAATTTTCAGTGGGTCAGACAAACATCTGAAACTTACAGGAACAACATTTGTGAACACTGCACTGCCAGCGTAGCATGACATAGGTTATTGGCCACTGATGGTGATTGTTTCCCAACAGATTCCATTGCTCACAGATTTCTTTAAATGCTTGCTTCCAGGCTAAGTTGGCGTTTGAACGACTCCCAGTACCGAAAGTGTTCCATCCATTTGTTTGTGGTCCTAACAACGCCAATATCAAACAGCTGATGGAGGATACAGGTGCAAAGATCAATGTTCCACCACCCAGTGTGATGAAGGACGAGATCGTTGTATCTGGTGAGAAGGATGGGGTGATGAAGTGCAAGGCTACAATCATGCAGATCTGTGAGGAAAAGGTGGGTATCTCACACCTTGCTGCCCAGTTTCGGCTAATCTCTCAAAGGGGAAGGAAGACAGATGGCAAATACAATGAATGTAAAATCAAGCAATCTTACCATTTGAGAAACACTTTATTTTGGTCATAAATGATCTCAAAGTAACTATGAGCTTTCTGTTTTCAGCGCCGGAAATGTCAAACGGTATCAGTGGAGGTCCGCAAGTCTCAACACAAGTACATTATCGGACCCCGTGGTGCTGGCATATCTGAGATCCTTGCCAACTGCGGGGTCTCGGTGGAAGTCCCTGCCCTTGACAGCTCCTCAGAGACCATCACACTGCGCGGCGAGCAGGATAAGCTTGGTCCTGCCCTCACTATGGTGTACTCCAAGGTAGGCTGGGGTAATACCCAACAAGAACCAGTAACATAGCAAAGATTTATATAGGTATTCCAAACCAGAAAAGGATTTAAGAGAATTTGATTCAAAATAGATATTTTTCCTTATCCTGACTCATGCTCTTTTGCTTGTCTTCTTCTTCTTTTACGAACATAGTGGAACACTTGTATCTCCCTAATTGAAGTTCCCTTCAATAAAGAAATCACTAATTAGTACTCACGAGTTACCTGCCCTCCACAAGCGCGGGAACGAGGGCGCCACCTCCACCCATGTGCCTCACTCTCTCCTTCTTCGCCCAGTGAGCTGGACGTGAGAGCGCCTGTGTCTCCCGACACACTATATCCTTTGATTATATTTAGTTAGTTACCTCGTATAGGCATCAATTAGGGAGATACAAGTGTTCCACTAGGTTCCCAAGAAGAAGAAGACAAGCAAAAGAGCATGAGTCAGGATAAGTATAAAATATCAATTTTACTCTAACAATTACATACTAGTATCTTCTGAAAACAAGAAGCTGGAATTTAGAAGTAAAAATTGAGCATCATCTTGTTTATCAGTCCTGTTATGAGTGGAATACAAATTGTTTCTGGCCTCTGAGTAGTTCTAGATAAATCCCTCTATGTACAAGCTTATCATTCCTATAGAGGGTTGTTTTGTACAGGGCTCCAGATAACTTTTGGGGGGTGCGGGTGTACTTACACATCATATTGCAAGTGGAGGTGTACTGAAAATTTTGAAGGAGTACTGACATGTTTTTGTGTGAGCGAGTTGTGATGTGGTTTGTCTGGACGATTCATCGATCACTATTTCCTACCATGTATTTGTATCTGAAGACACGTGAGAAATAACTGAGTGACCATGTGATGCGCGAAATGTCAGGTCCGACTGGATATAAATGGGAACAGTGTAGTTTTTAGCCAATCGAAAAATAGTGACGCATATCGTTGCATGGCAACGCATGTGATTCCTACTGTCGGGGTTTCCTCGTGTCAAATCGTGTTTCGCAAAAGAAACTTGACAAGTATTTATCCGAAATAGATTTCCATTTGCACGATACGCACGGAAATTAAATGTTAGACGTACAAAGATATTTATGTGCGTACACGATACGCTTGAAATCTTATATTATGTCATACTTAATTGATTTTGAGGCGTACATGACGCCTGTACGCCCCTTATCTGTAGCCCTGTTTGTAAATAGATTTTCTTTCACCTTTCATCATGACTTAGATAAGGAACTACACTGAGTGTATCAATGTGTTTATAGTGATAATATGGCAACTGTATCTCACTAAATGACAGTTGTAAATCATATTGCATAAGCAATGTGCGAGTTTCATGCATAAGATGTGGGGGAAGTTACCTCCCCCTGGACTGTGGCCAAGTCCCATGCTACATGTTAGGATGGGATCTGTCACTGGCTAGGGAAAGTAATGATGAGGTCGTGAGACCTGGTGGCTTCAGATATGTCACTGGGTTCGAACTCCTTCATACAGTAATTGTAAATAACAGCCATGCCTGCATATAACATTATTGACTTTGAAAGTGTGTGGTAAAGGATGTATGGTTTTTTTATCATTTGAGATTATCCATGCTCTACAAACAATGGATTATCTGCCCTATGGTGTAGAGTGACTCTCTGATGTACCAGTGTGTTGTGTTTTCCAGGCTAACAGTGTAGTGTTTGCTGATGTTGTGGCTCCATCTTGGCTGCATCGGTTTATCATTGGTAAAAAGGGAGCTAACATCAGGAACATCACGGAGGAATACACCAAGGTGAGAACAGAGATTTCTATACAAACTCACATTGCTATTTGAGTTCAGTAATCTTGAGTGAGATCTTAATCCCTGTTAATCTCTGCTTCCAAAAAAACCCAAATCAAGACTACAGGATTTTGCAGATATATTGTAGTCATACAGATTGATTTTCACTGGTCCTTTTTCATAACTGATAGTTTACCTTTCACCATTGCCCAAACCAGGAAAGACTTAGAGCAGACAGCTTGGAATATATTAACCCTGAATTTCCTTTTGCTGTTTAAACCGTTTTTTGATCATATCAGTGATGTTTCTGTTCTGAATGATCCTGCTGGCCCTGCTAGTTTATCTCATGAACACATGTACAAAAACCAGTGCATTGGTTGTTGTTTGATGTTTCAGAATTTCACAAACAGCATACATCCATGTTTTTCAGGTCCATATCGAATTCACGGATGGCCAAGACAAGATCACGGTTGAAGGCCCCCCAGAGGAGGTTGATTTGGCTGTCAAGTCCTTGGAGACTGCGGTTAAAGATCTGGTAAGTTTAATAACTTAATGTTATTGTTGTTTGTACGTCATTTGCTGGTAAACTGAGTGTAGACTACGTATGAGTTACATCTCCTGTCTTGTTCAAGACCCTTGTCAGATATTGGCAAGGTGTCTGTCATAGGCAAGGTATAACGAAATGGGGAGGGGATGCAAGCTGCAGATAGTGCTGTAGTCTTGATCCATCTCCCCTACATTATGTTTACTCAGTTGAAGGGCTTGTTCACTGTAAGGGCTTGTTCAGGAATCATGCTAAGTGAATTAGTAAGATTATGCATCAAGAGAAATTTACAGCAATTTTCCTACCATGAAAGAAATTACGCATAAAGATGGATTTATTGCTAATGCTTTCCCATAAAAAACATTCCATGAATTGGATATATTTTGGAAATGAGTACATTTGTAGAATAGATGATCGTCTGCCAGGTCAAATATCAGAATCATATGCTTGTTTCATCTACTGAGTGGATGTTTGGAAATATTTCAGTCATGTGAAGATGGTAGCATTTCGAGCATGTTTTAAGGTGTCTATTTGGTGCAATATTGTTGTTAGTGTTTTCTACTTGTTGGCATTAGTAGTATGTTCCTGCGGTCATTGTTCTTATGTTTACCATCCATCGAGGTGTCACAAATTACCTCCCCTGGACTGTGGCCAAGTCCCATGCTACATGTTAGGATGGGATCTGTCACTGGCTAGGGAAAGTAAAGATGAGGTCGTGAGACCTGGTGGCTTCAGCTATGTCACTGGGTTCGAACTCCTTCATACAGATTTACTTATATAAATTCATTAGAGATGTATGTGTGTATATATTTTTTTTGGATTTAATAGATTTCCACATGCATGGTTTGAGTCTGTTTTTGTGTACTTCAGAAATCTCGGATGGATTTTGCAGAAGTTCTTATTGACCAACGTTTTCACAAGCATATCATCGGTAAAAATGGATCAAACAGTAAGTATTTTAGAATTGTTTTAAGATTGTACATATATTTTGGTGGGAACAGAGTTAATTTTTGTGTGTGTATAGGCCAACCAGATATAATATGTTGATGTTGTCTCATCAACTTCTAGTTACAAGAATCAAGAATGAAACTGGGGTGGCGATAAGGATTCCGAATGACAGCGAGCACAGCAAGGTGATTCGTATCGAGGGCGACCCTGCAGGTGTCATTCAGGCTAAGAAGGAACTCCAAGAGATGGCACTGCGAATGGTGAGCTGCTCTAAACAAACCTATTCCATGGAGTATTATATAACTCATACACAGTGATTCACACACTGTAGCTAAAGGCATCAGTTGAGAAAATTTGAATGAGTGAATGAGTTTTACGCCCGCACTCAGCAATATTCCAGCTATATGGCGACGGTCTGTAAATAATCGAGTCTGGACCAGACAGTCCAATGATCAACAGCATGAGCATCGACCGCAATTGGGAACCGGTGACATGTGTCAGCCAAGCCAGCGAGTCTGACTACCTGATCTCGTTAGTCGCCACTTACGACAAGCGTATGAGTGTCGGTGATTTAAGAACATGTGTTTATATCAGAAGTAAAGGACAATTACAATTTCTACAGGAAAATGAGAAAACCAAGGACATCATAATCGAACAGCGTTTTCACAAGAGCATCATCGGAGCGAAGGGAGAGAAAATCCGGGAGATCCGAGACAGGTTCAACCAAGTTCAAATCACCTTCCCCGACCCTGGCAAGAAGAGCGATGTTGTAACGCTCCGGGCCCCAAGAACGATGTCGACAAGGCTTTCAAGTACATGCAGAAGATGCACGAGGAGTTGGTACGCACCTCACTATTCTCACAGCATTTGTAGATTAAACATTTCTGAGAAATCTCAACATAACAGTCATCTGTTGATGTAAATGTACAGTCTGATGCACTGGTTATCTCCTCGCCCTGTCTTCTAACTACCCACAATGCATGGTGAAACTGATCTGTTGTAAACAGTACTCTGTTTTTCAGGTTGAAAGTAATCATCAAGCTCAAGTTCATATCTTCAAAGGATTCCACAAGAACATTATTGGCAAAGGTGGTGCCAATATCAGGAAGGTAAGAATAAGTTCCTTCTGTCTCCACCAGAGCTGAATTGTTCATTCAGGTTGACAATCAATGTAAACTGATTTGGCAATCATTTCTTTAAATTTCCTGATTACTCTGATCACGGCAAGCATGTAACGATGTATCAAACATATAAGTTGAGTTTGGTGTGGATGTGATGATTTTCTTTGTGTTCAGATCCGAGATGAAACTGACACAAGGATTGACCTGCCCAGTGAACTGAGTGACTCTGATGTGATCACCATCACAGGGAAGAAAGCTAATGTGGAGCAGGCTAAAGAGAAGATCGAGTTAATTCAGAAGGAACTGGTAGGTTGATCTTGCCAGTTGTTTATATTTTATTGTTAATTTTCATCTCATATTGACTGACAAATTAAAAGCATGAATCTGTTAGCACTATCAAAATACCTAAAATTTGGTAGAACGTTCATTCTTTTCCTGAAAACCATTTTAACATGACATGTAACATGATTGTTGTTGAGACTCTGAAGACTGACTCTACACGTTGTTTGATTCCAGGCCAACATCAAGGAGATCACCATAGAAATCCCCCACAAGCTTCACAACTCCATCATCGGTGCCAAGGGACGTCTCATCCGAGCTATCATGGACGAGTGTGGGGGTGTGATCATCCGCTTCCCCAGCGAGGGCAGCACCAGCGACAGAGTGACGATCAGGGGACCCAAGGACGACGTGGAGAATGCCAAGAAACAGCTGCAGGAACTCACCAGTGAGAAGGTAAAAAACTGTCTGCATTTGGTGGCTTTCCACCAACCTATCTTTGCCCTACACCAATAGTAGACCAACCTTAGGGTGATGTTACGATCGGCATACTGTTCCACTAACCAGTCTTTCCCAAGTCAATCGTAAAGTTAAGATCCAAAGTCTAAGTTGCTCACGACCAACTTAGGTTCCCTAAAATCAATCGTTGAGAAACCAAAATTGCAGTTTTCATTATTATATGTAAAGAAAAAGAGCAAGCATTAAACCGCGAGCGTGAATTTAGAGACTGCTTACAGATTCTAGCTACATTAGCACATGATGAGCTTGTGGCGAGGTACAGGATGCCTCGTCACACCTTGTTTATTCTGATCGGTTCAGCCACATATTACGCGCTCTTCCCCAGAAACCAAGGTGCTCACTACCCTAAGATACCTCGGGAAGGGTGGATTTTTCTGTTGAACTGGCAGATCTTAAATGGGTATCTAAGTCAAGCATATCTAGGTTTCTTTTCCACATTTACACTTGGTCCAAAACTACTTCCATGGTCTGCTTGACTAACTATGTAAAGGGAGATAACTCGTGCCTCATTCACACGAAAGACCCTCAACCTTAGCTAGCATCGGATCGTAAGATAGGGACTGTCTACGATCGGCCTAAGATCGGTTAGTGGAATGGACGTAGCTTTTAGCTAAGACGATTGTGGAATTGGCGTACCTTGCCCAGATTGATCGGTTAGTGAAACGGCACCCTGGTTCTCATGGTTGCATATTAAGTAATTATATTTTCTACTTTATACATTGAGTTATTTTATAATTCCAGCAAATGTCAAGCTTCACCAATGAAATTAAGGCCAGGGCACAGTACCACAAGTTCCTGATTGGAAGAGGAGGTACAAATATCAGGAAGGTAAGCACATTTGGGGAGATTAAATCTTAATTGCAGTTTTCAAACAAGCTGTTTATTCTTGCATGATTCAAATACCCACCAACATACCCATGACGTGTTTATATGCTATGAGTATGTTTGGATGGAGATTGGAAGATGTTTGTTTTCTATGTGCATTCCATAAAAATTGCTGTTCTATTTCCGAATGTCATTTCTTTCAACTTTGTTGTGCTTCAGGTTCGTGAAAACACAGGTGCTCGTATCATCTTCCCAGCCAATAACGATGCTGATCAGGAGACGATTGTTGTTGTCGGGACACAGGACTCTGTGAACAAGGCCACCAAGGAACTGGAGGCACTGATCAGCAATCTGGTATGTTGCGTCAGAAAGGATTACACTCTACTCCATTTAAAAAGTATCTTCTTAGTCGTTGATACACAGAAATTCTGTACTGCTGTAATCTAAGGTTTTTCTTTGTCCTGAACAAGTAAATGTGATCAATGTGCTGTGTGTTTCAGGACAACATTGTTGAGATAGATACAAATGTAGACCCCAAACATCATCGCTATTTTGTTGCTCGCCGGGGTGAAGTGCTGAGACAGATTGCGGATGAGTATGGTGGAGTGACGGTCAGCTTCCCTCGTAGTGGAGTGAAGAGTGACAAGGTCGTTATCAAAGGTGCTAAAGATTGTGTTGAGGGAGCTAAAAAGAAAATACAAGACATAGTGGCTGATTTGGTGAGTATTTATTATGGTCAATCAGTTGTCGGGGGCCCATATGTGTAGTTTGTGGGATCGGTGAAAGTGGCTTTGTGAATATCTGGTGGGATCATGACATGTTGCATCACATCCCAACACTTGGGATGTTCTCATCTACAAGTGGGGTAGCCTAGTGGTTAAAGCATTGGTTTGTCACGCCGAAGACCCGGGTTCGATTCCCCACATGGGTACAATGTGTGAAGCCCATTTCTGGTGTCCCCCGCAGTGATATTGCTGGAAAATTGCTAAAAGCGGTGTAAAACTAACCTCACTCGCTCGTCTTCAAATAAGTACTTACTTTGTTGTGTTTAATGTGCATTCACATCAACTATGCTTGTTTGTCAAGTGACTACATGGCTCAGAATGTCCGATTTGCTGCTCCAGACACCTACACAATGTAGGAATATTGTGACAAATCACATTGAACAAACATCACACAAAGCAAACAAGCAGTATTGATGCCGAGTATACATTGCTGTGGTTGATGGGAAAGAAGATTTACTTGATTATCTTGTTGGACTGTATCGCATACTGACGGGGGTTGTGTTATGGTGTGTTGCAGGATGCCCAAGTGACGGTGGAGTGCGTCATATCCCAGCAGCATCACCGTACAGTCATGGGGGCCAGTGGCTACAACATCAAGGAGATCACCAAGAACTTTGAGGTGGGAATCAAGTTCCCTGACAAGCCCACTGCCAATGGAGGTAAGTCCAGCTATGCATTTTGATCACCAAATTAGAACTTGGATACATCCAATTAAAACATGTTTTATTATTCAGGTCCTGTTTTGCTCAATTTGATGTGAAAATAGCTAAAACCTGTTTCACTAAATGGAGTCTTTCTTCAAAATAATACATTATGTAAATATAAAATGTTTGTAAAAGTGACTTCTGCGTTCTGATGCTGCTGAATGATATTCTGAAACAAATGTTAGTTCCCTCCCATCTACCTTCCATGTAACCAGAGATGAATCTGTCTAAGAATTGCCTTTTTGTTGCTAGCAGCCAGACCAGAAGCAGCTGGTGATGAGGAGCCGCTGGTGAACGGCGACTCGGAAAGTGCTGAAGGGGAAGGAGAGAAGACGAAAAAGAGAGACATAATCATCATCACTGGCAAACCCGAGAACTGTCAACAAGCCAAGGATGCCCTGCTGGTAAGCAGTTGCCAACTTCACCATGCTCTGTGTACACTTTCTGATTAAAGGGTGCTCCGATCCTGCATGGTGATGAAACATGCACAGTTATGTCCCTTGATATGCAGGAAAACTGATCGTGGTTTCAAACCAACAGCACTATTTTGATGCATGAAAATGTCTGCTCTGAATAGATTTTGTTTTCAACATATTGTCATGTTAAGGTATTTTCATACATCTCTTTTTTTTAATTCCAGGCTCTGGTGCCAATCACTGAGGAGATGCAGATACCATTTGATTTCCATCGGTTCATCATCGGCCAGAAGGGACGCGATGTGCGCAAGATGATGCAGGACTACAATGTGAACATCTCCATTCCACCGATGGAGGAGAAGAGTGACATCGTCCGCATCTCTGGCCCCATCACCAACGTTGAGAGGGCCAAGGCAGGCCTGCTGGAGAGGGTCGAACAGCTGGAGAAGGAGAGAGAGGACAGGGTGAGGACGGGAGCATTCTGTCAGAGCATTGTTTCATAACAATCAGTTCTCAGTTACTTAGTTTCAGATTTTGACATACTTTCTTGACCAGATCATTTAAAAAATCACTTTTAAGTATTATGTGTGTGACGACCGGATTGAACTGTCATTCAACTTGCTGTCGTATATTTGTGTAGGAACTGCAGAGCTTTGAACTGAAGGTGGAAGTGGAACCTGTGCACCACCCAAAGATCATTGGACGCAAAGGGCTAGTTGTGAAGAAGATCCGAGAGGATCATGGCTGTCGCATCCAGTTCCCAGAGAAAGGAGATGAGAATCAGAATATCATCACCATTGTGGGTTACGAAGATAAAACTCACTTTGCTAAGGAGGATATTCTCAAGATTGTCAAGGAACTGGTATGTGTCTAGCTATCTCAGTCTAAAGGTAGCAAGTTACCTGTGGAACAAGTACAGCAGTTATCGCTCTTGTATTCTAGCCACTGATCACAGTTCAGTCAGCAATCAGTTCTCCATGTGTTTATCTTTCACTCCTGATAACTAATTACAATACACAAGCAGAGAGGTACAGATTTGTTCTCCTTAATCTTGTTTCGCTCACTTCTATAACTTAAGAAATAGTGTATGGATACAAAGCTGTAGTAAACCTCCCCAGTTGATACACATTGCCAAATATTTCCACCCTTGAATTGACCATTAGAATTATATTCTGCCCACCACATGTGCATTTATCAATGAACATGTGATACCATGTTAATTGGATTGGTTTGTGTCATAAAAGACACTGTCAATTTGTTTCTTAAACAACTTATATATTTGACACATTAAAATCTAGAAGCACGGTAAGACTGAACTTAAATTTAGTGTTTTGCAACTTAAAATCATTTCATTAATGCAAGACATTGTATTCGATGCTTTTCGTATTGAAAATGTTCAGTAATGTGATGGATGTGATGTATTTGCAGGAAGAGATGGTGACTATTGAGGTGCGTGTTGATCACCGCATCCATCCCAGGATCATTGGCTTCAAGGGGCGAGCTGTGAGGAAGGTGATGGACGACTACCAGGTGGACATCCGTTTCCCCCGACCAGAGGATGGGGACCCAGACATTGTCACCATCACTGGGATGGAAGACAATGTGTATGAATGCCAGGACCACTTGCTCAATCTGCAGGAGGAATTTGTAAGTACTTAGATGGATGCATTAAATTAATTAAGTATTCAGTTTATGGAAAATAACATGTTTCATGTTGTTAGTTCATGATCACATTTACACAGGAACATGTGTTTTAATGAAGGAGTTGCATGATTGAAATTTTTCTTTCTCCTTTTGATGTGGTCCCCTGTAATTGCCGCTGTCCTTTTTTTTTCTTTTTGTTACTCTATCTTAGACGTCAGATGTGCTAACAAGATTTCTAGGTTGTTAATGCATACATTGTGATCATGAGATCCCAAACACCCAACAATTCATGCATGTAGCAAAGATAGCAATAAGTGTTTACATTTTATTCTCAGTGACATGATGTGTGACAAGTAAATCAGTATTACTCTTGGGAGCAGACACTCAGTGTTAAAGTATAGAGTAGGTGGCATCAGACCAATCATTTTACCAGTACATGCCAACATTGGGAGGGATTTTACAAGATTCTCATAGACAGACCGCTGTAGTTCAGTACAGTGCATTATAATAAAATGGCATAGTCGACTCTATCTTGGTTCATGACAATTTATTTCAGTTCATGTACTAAGAGATATATTTGGATATTTCTGATTTCATTCTACCTGTTCCAGCTTCAAGATGTCATTGACCAGGAGTACATCAAGCAGCTTCAGCGTCCTCCCAGCAAGCAGGACGGGGACAACCGCGGTGGGCCACCAGATCCGCGTGGCTTTGTTGTGAAGGATGCACCATGGGACAAGACTCCCGACACTGCCAGTACCGAGGAGTTTCCTGCGTTCGGTGCTGTAGTGGCACCCAAGTCCAGTCACGCTTGGGGTCCATTAAAGCGCAAGAACTAAACTCACCACATGGTAGCTTGCGACATAGTAAATTCTGTCAATCTTTGGAGGGTTTCTATAAAGCTAAAGCCTGCTTTTAGTTTGTTTTTCTGCTGTTATTATATAAATAAAACCTGAAGAAATATTTAAACATTTCTTCATTTTGTAGTTGTGATCTACCCCTTGGGCATTTATTGACACTGTCCTATTTGGAGTTCTATATCTACCTTACCATGGCACCAAGTAATTGTACTTCAAAGAAGAAATGGCAAACTGAGGATGACTGGTAGTTGTACCGTTATGTTTTTAACTTCTGTTTGTTCCACTCACGTCTCTGAATCCACAAGTATAATTACAGTGAGTTAGTATTGTGATATAAAACTAGAGGAACTACCAAAGAGTTTCCGAGATATGTGTGGTACATACAGACATGTTTAACATGTTAATCTTTTATGGGATTTTTTTTTCTTGACAACTGGGGCCTGTGGGATAGTTATTCTTAGTTCCTGTTACGATTCAGACCACTTGTACAAAGCCTTGTTTTAAGTTTTATTGTACTAGTCATTTTCATGGAAATGACATGGTAAAAACTCTTGTGGCTGTTCGAGTCAAACTGTGAAAACTGTAAATAGCCACTTAAATAGTAGCTGCAATATTTTTGTCACAAAAAATTAAATTATGCAATATTAGCTTATGTGAACGGAACAAGAAGAAACCTATTTTAATCCTTCCATGCTCTGTTCCATTCCAAGCCACAAGGTCTGAATGATTATGCATGTTAATTTTGTCATGTGATGTTGCCATGGCAACCATTCTAAGAAGGTTCTGCAAAGACATTGTGGAAGCTTGTAGTCATGTGATAGTAACCATGGCAATCACCTCAGCAGCTGTTTCCACGGAAACAATAAGATTAATATTTCAGTGGAACTACGGAAGTTTGGGTGATGGTCATTTGTTTGTTTTCCATGCATATATATTCATTGAATCATTGAATCGCGGCGCTCATGATGCTGCCGCTCATGTAATATATGTAAGAATTCTGTGCACAGAATGAGCCATTGCATCTCCTGTGCGTAACTATCATGATAATTTATCATGAGTAATAAAGAAATTTGAGCCAATATTTTGTCTTTGTTGGTATGCTTTGCATGTTTCAACTTTTGGTTGAAAGGTTTAATGATGCTGTATATTATCAAAGTGGTAACACTTCAGATATTTCAGTGTTGTGATCAGCTGTTACAACCCCTAAACATTTTCTTTGAATGCAGGGGTATTGGTGGGTTAGACTTGTGGTTAAAGGCGTCACAAAAGGACCTGGCTTCAAATCCCCAGTGTACAGTGTGTGAAACCCCTTTTTGCTCTCTCTTGTGATGTTGGCTGGAATATTGCTGAAAATAAACGCTCGCGATCGATCCATCGATGATTATAGTGTTTTGCGATGTGTACTGCCATTTGATCCAGTGTATAAAATAGTTTTGAAATATGGCCTGTCCAAGGACTTTCTGTCCGAACAAGTGACCAGTTCTGAACAAACACAGGCAGTCCCAAAAACTGAAACAATGAAAAAGAATAGATAAGACGAAGTTCAAACCAAGTTAAGTTTATTTTTTTCAATATTTCCCCCGACTAATGGACGGCCTTTCTTATTTAATAGACTGTCCTTTACAAAAATAGACAGTCTAGGACGGGCTGTTTTTTATACACTGTTTGAACGGTAATTGGCATTTGGAGTGGCATCTTCACGTTGCGAACACGTTAACAGTCGCCTCGAAAATCACATCCAACATCTGTAATAGGTATCAACGACCTAACGACTATCTCAATATCAGCTAGAGCTCACTATTTTTCTCAGCATATTAAAAAATTCATTCTGGGTCTGTAAATAATCGAGTCTGGACCAGACAATCCTGTGGTCAACAGCATCGATCTACGCAACTGGGATACGATGATATGTGTCAACCAAGTCAGCGAGCCTGACCACCCGATCACGTTTGTCGCCTTTTACGACAAGCATGGTTTGTTGAAGACCAGTTCTAACCCGGATCTTCACGGGTATTGTTATGTTAATATTGGTACAACTGGTGTTGAAGTTCCCGCGTCAGAGAGATGACCACATCCACCACATATACATACACAAGCACATCAGCCTGATCACTGCATCTTGTGGCAAAACATGACACAACGTATAACCAAGGTTTGAAGAGACAAACTAGGCGTACTCGCATCCCGTCGTGGTCAGAGGAAGGGAGAGAACTCGTGTCGGACTATGACAAACAAGAGCTCGATGTGCCCTCCCCCGCCCCTTTTTTGTGTCCTGAAAGTTTGTTCAATGACCATTGAAACTCGGGTGAAAATGAAGTGTGCACCCCAACCCCCCTTCTCAATAGTATGCACATTCTCCCCCCACCCCTTTCTCAAAAAGCTGAATCAGCCCCTGCTGGGTCAGATAATCCAGTGATTGACATTTGTTAGCAATGAGATGCAACCAAGTAACAGACTGGTCCCCTTGGTGTGGGCGCGGACGCTACACAGGCTGTACACAATGCAGCGTCAGCAGTAGACTAACAACTAGTCTCTGAAATGAACATATTTTAAAGACAAAAAAGTTCATAGTAAAAAAAAAAAATAATAATTAAAAGGAGCCCTGAGACTTTATTCATTTCCAGAAGCTCTGGAAATCTTGACTTGCCACATTTTCTAGACTTGCGTGAGCTTATTTGGATATATCTGCAGTACGTCAGCAGTAGAGCGCCAGCGCAGCATACCGAGAGCACCAGTTGACCTGGGAACCGACCTTACCACCTAGTCCATGAAGTCTCCACTTTGGACCAGCATAGTTCGCCGGGGTCAGTTCTAACCCGTATTCCCACATGCTGAGTGAAATAGTGTCATATTTTGTCACACACTACCAACAATAATTCATAACATTCCACTTCAACTATTTTCCCAGTGTTCGTGGGTCCACAGTTCCCAAAGTAGTAGCGTGAGGACAATAAATAGCTAAAGGTCATATGATATGTAACTGGTTTAATCCGATTGGGAAAAAAGTACACCCATCTGACAAAGTCATTGGGAATGTATGCAAGGAATGCCTCCAGGTTGTATAAATTCGTCCTTACATACGGTTGTGTTTCTCGTTTCTCGCAGCATGCTAATTTCTCTTTTCTGTTAGTATTCGTGAATTATTCAGGAATAAATCTATTTATGTTTGACAGGGCATCTACAAAGACATTGCAAGTTTTAAATTCAAACTTATAATGAAAACCGACGTATATGTAAGTCACGGTCTGCGTTCTTAAGGGATATTGATGAAAGTTGAAATGGAAGCAGGTCACCGCCATTTTAAATATCTAAAAAAATTAAAAAATTATCTAGATCTAAACCTGGGTAAGAAATGCCCTTTTCTTGTTCGTTCGTCGACAGTGTTATATATCCGGTTCCATTTTGCAGACTGCACGTCAGAGCATACCTGTATTTTAAAATGATGGCTATGCAGGAACTGATTCGGGCCTGGTGTTATGTAACACTTATGATAAGTACCATGCACATGATAAGAATGGTCTTTAAAATGTCTTCTCCACATTTCCTCATAGATCATTTTCCACAATGCGTTTAAAGATCTTTCCATGTTCAACTAGCTCACTGTAGTCAACCAGATATTTGTATAAATATTGTAAAATACATGTTTCTGGCATTTACCGCTAAAGACTTTGACCTGTATTTGAGCCCTTTTATTTTTAGTTAAACGTTTTCTGGAGTAAGCAGCATGTATTTTATTTTATTTTTTCGACCCCTCACCTCGTCGCCCGATCGCTCTCTTCTGAGAAACAGTTGTAGAGAGGAAACAGAAATGGTAAAGACCTATACTGGTTTTAGAACAAAAGGCACGCTCATTCCTCCTAATCACGGGCTCTTGCAGCAAGCTTGGGTGATGGTACACGGTGATGGTAATCTCCAAGTGTACACGCAGAACAACGCCCTGTGAATGAGTGAGTTCAGTTTTACGCCGCTTTTAGCAATATTGCAGCAATATCACGGCGTGGGACACCAAAAATGGGCTTCACACATTGTACCCATGTGGGGAATCGAACCCGGGTCTCCGGCATGACGAGCGGACGCTTTAACCACCAGGATACCCCGCCACCCTGTGATGCGATATAACAGTATAGCAGATTGTAATTTTTGTATATCAACGACACAACACGCTTGCAACTATGACACATAGTTTATTAACACCATAACCTGTTCAGTAACAAGTCACAAAAATATGCATTAAATGCATCAATATTGGAATAAATCCTTCCCTATATACACGAACAAGCTCTGTGAGTCACAACTGACCAACTCTTTACCAACGTGTGTACATGTGAGTGCGGACAAAATAGCTGCCTTCTGTTTCAAAATTGAGATATCATCCTCTATCACCTATAAAACTTCAGGGTTGAAGAGATACTGTCGGTTGTACAAACTGTCGTTGTAAAGGAAACCCTACACGTACGTGTACAAATACCGAGACGCCGGGGGCTTGGCGTGTCACATGGGGGCAGACATATAAATTGCAGTGGTGGTGATCGATCTGTGTTCATGATAAGTATGACAAATCAATAATACTGATTGGAGTCTGTGTAAGTGTTTACTCAGACGACAGAGCACGATTTACTATTTGGAACGCGGTCTACACTGCGTGCTGCAACAACACCCCTACTTCCTTATCTAAATTACATATCTACGCAGTGCTGGAAATAAGAGTGTGTCTGTTGCCAGTGATTTCAAATATAAATCCTCGCAGCAATAAGCTGCAGTTTAAAAAAAAAAATATATAAAAAATCCATGGCAATTATGTACACAGGTTTCCTCAATATATGCATCGAACTAGCATACAACCTCGGCTGGTCATCACGATCATTTTGTGGACAGACGCGGGGGGAATAATGATTGATGTATTTTGTTCGAAGCTATTAAAAATACAAACATGTAAACGATAAAAGCATGAAATACATGTACAGGTGCGTAAACATGGGTAATCAGTGACGTTTTGTTTATCATGAAAAATTAACTAATAAAAAATATCCAGGAATATCATTTGCATTCGTTATTTTTAAATTTAAAGTTTTGGGGGTTCACTCAACTTTTACTATCAATATTTGAAGTACAGTTTCTGTTCCTTATTTCCAACATTGTGTCTTTTCCGTATTTCCAACACTGTTTCTAGTACTTCCTACATCTGATGGATGTGTTATATTCCCTTACCACTCCAGCCAGTTGACTTTGGGACCAATCAATTCTGATATGTTAGTTGATTTGTCGATGACCTACTAGTGTTGGGAATTGGTTAAAATCTCATAATTGATGATTGGTTCATTAAAACCGATCAATCATCGAAAATAATTGGTTAGCGTCATTTATGAAATGTGTTAATGCACAAAAAATAAGGAAAATAACATGTAGTTCTTTGGGGTTTTTGGGGCAAAATTTCACATCTTTAAAGGATGATTAGTATGGTGGAACATAGATTTCTTAGAGTCTTTAAGATAAATTCAATCATGACTTGGAACGAGCTTGTAGTGCTTATGAAATGTAACAGACAAAACCAACCTAGTGGAAAATACTGTTAATGAAAACAAGTGTTCTAGAATTGTTTGTGTTCGATTATGAGAAAACATGATCGATTGCTTGGTCGTTTAGTCACTGCGACCAATCTTCGATTATTTCAATTAATCGGTCCACCACAATGACCTACTACACAAGGAACGCTAAGATGGCCTATCTACGCCGTACGTCAAGCCTTTGTGTCCAGCCTGTGGGACAACCCTCAAAACAAACATACCTGCCTCTGAAGCCACACACCATCAGTAACAAAACAATCGAAAGTACAGGCATCATTTGTATATAACCCTTCTAGAAAATTGCCATTTTAATTTGTAAGCCTCCCAGCTGCATGTGTTGCTGCGAATATTTTCCGATAAAGGGGAAGACACCTTAACCTGATAGAGACTAAAACCCCGACAGTACTTCTTCAAACGTTGTCAGTATAATACACCTTCAGTATCCTCACTATCACAAAAACACTAAAAAGCGTGAGTACATTGTGTTTTAAGACAAAACCTTAACTCCATTTGAGTATTTATCAACAGTAATCACAAACCTGACAAGCTCCCTGTACCCCGTCACTATATGTTAACAATAAGCTATGCTCAGTATGGCCGGCAGGACTATGGTCCTCTAGTGGTATGGAAATAGTCAGCTGACCGCTGGTCAAATCTGGAGTGGTCGCGCACCGTCAGACGCTGGACACACGTAGAACGTTGCTGTACCCGTGTAACGGTTCTGAAATAACGAATGAACTTCACTATGGTTGAAGGACTTGAAGACGATTATTAATACCATATATACCAGTTTTTACAAGCTATAATCTGGATTAATCGATAATTCTCTAAATACTTTGGACCGCGAAGATCCTGGTTGGATCTGGTCTTCAGCAATCCATGCTTGTCGTTAGATTGCGTAGATGGAGGCTCATAGTGTTAGTCACCAGATTGTCTGGTTCAGACTAGACTACTTACAGACGACCACCACTTACATGTAGTGAGTGACTGAGTTCAGTTCAATATTCCAGCTATATGGCCGCGGTATGTAAATAATCGAGTCTGGATCAGACAATCCAGTGATCAACAGCATGATCATCGATCTGCGCAATTGGGAACCGATGACATGGGTCAATCAAGCCAGCGAGCCTGACCACTCGATCCCGTTAGTCGCCTCTTACGACAAGCATGGGTTACTGAAGGTGCATTCTGTCCCGGACTTTCATGGGTTCCTATACATGTAGCTGGTATATTGTTCAGAACGGCGTTAAACAACAAAAGAAATTTAAGCAATGAATAAGATTTTGAGCAATAAATAAGATTTTACACAAGTTTAATCACTATTGCAAAACTTGAGTGATAACCAGCTTGACACAACTAGCTGTATAATCGCTTCCCTGCTTGAATACAATGGATACAAAAGAGGACTATCAGTTTCGCAAATACTTTACACCTGGTAATCACTCCTGAATCATCCCCTGCACAGAACATCTGGTCTTATGGACATTCTAAAAGGCCGATTATTACTGGGATCAGGCGATGCGACCTGCCAGGCCATGTCACTGTGTCCTCGTGCTGTAGGTCATGCTGACCTTAACCCCCAAGACAGGATTATGAAGAGACCGCTGTTATGCGCATATCACTGTCTGTTGCGTTAAACATTCACTGACTAATGTAATGCAATCTGTGTATTCACCTTCATATTTAGTATACAATTGCCGACCGCGTCTCTCTTCAGCAAAGTCACCGTGCATCCTCCGAAGCCTCCGCCCGTCATGCGTGAACCAAACACGCCCTCTACCTCCATGGCTGCTTCCACAAGCTGGTCCACCTCCGAACATGACACCTCGTAGTCGTCCCTGCATGGAGAATAGAAATCAGATTTCACGGAGCATCAGTGTAAATAAGTATCTATGCTACGTAAGCTGGCTGTCTGAGTTATTTCAGTTATTTGAGAAATGAATGGAAGGTCACCTCTGATTACATGATAACGTCTAATAATTCAAACCACGTCTTTTGCAGCTAGATAAAACAACAACATAAGGCCACATAAAAATAATTTCTTGTTTCTTATTAGAGCCGTCCTTAAAATTTGGCCCGACCCTATTTTTTTTTTTTGGCACTGGTAAATGTGCGTGTATAAACCGGCAGAATTCCGAACTCCTTGGACAGCACAATATTATTCAATGTACCCACAACACATCGATGACTAAGTGTGTTGTTTCTGTCAGAGCAGTTCAGTGCATCATTTCATTCACCAGTCCACATAGTCATTGCTTTATTAGAGGCTCTAAAGATATTATCAAAACGTACACTTCTCTACACTGTAACTCATATTGAGGACCCTTACACAAAAACTAATTGGGGGGTCGCCCATGTTTCTGATTCCTGGTGAAACCCTACAGTCTAAACTATTATCATTCTCTTCCCACAGAGGTTACTCCTGTCATATCTTCCTACGTAACCTCAGTTCTAATACGGCCCTTTCATGGTGTGAGCGTTCAAGACTCGTGATTGGAGACAATCAGATTTAGTTGTGCAATCAGCAACGTTGTTTCAAAAGTGATCATTCGCAAGGCCTCGGTAATTTCCGTATGCTTCGAGAAAACTAAACTTCTTCCCCTGCGCGATGCGCAAACGTTTTTTCTAGACAGAACTCAGTTATGTTATGGCGGATCAGTGGCGTCTCCATCGCCCTCGTTGACAACGGACAAGCTAGCCATTAAACGTCTTGTGTGTAACATCAACACAAGTCCCCGGCAGATGGGGGATATTTGTGGCCCCACATTTGCTTGTGTTAGTCAAGTTGAATCTAAGTCGATGTAACAGGTGTTCTGATTGGATAGAAAGAAGGGAGATAATTTGTGTTGCGATCTTTTGCCGCTAGGGGGATTTTACGAGAACCGGGAAATATGGCCGTATTAGAACAGAGGTTACGTAGGAAGATATGACAGGAGTAACCTCTGTGGGAAGAGAATGAACTATTATAGGCCAATGGGCAACTAATCCCCTGTCTTATCCAATTAACCCATATGGTCTCGTCTTACAAATACAAACACAGATACACAGAATTATACACTCTTACACGACACAGGAGTATACATTAACATATAACAAAACATACTTGTGCACATGTTGTTTATTCTGTCATAGACCAAACCATTTCAATAAGTTTCTTTGAAACTTCATACATTTAAACGATCAATTCGTTTCAATATATGTCCAAAGTGCACCAAAATTCTATCCCCATTGTCTGTTTAATATATTCAACAAACATTCGGTGTATCTCCTCTTATCATAAACCCCCTCCTTGAAGGATTAAAGGAAAAAAAGTCCTCGGAAAAAAAAGGTCCTCTATAAAAGTACAGGAAAAAAGTCCTATTATTGTGAAAACAAAGTGATTGTGTATAAAAGACATGGATTAAATACTGAATTAACCAAGGACAAGGATATTTTAACTGGGCAGATCTAATCCAGGATTTAGCTTGAGTTCTGTTTGTCAAAATGGGATTTTAGCTGCTTGAACCCAAGAATAATTAGTGTTCACAACAACATCAATCCCAGAGTTTCTCCATGGTGTGGCCACCAATATTAGACTGCATAAAACTCAGTAAATGTCAGGAAAGTCTTGCAAATTGTCAATTTACAGTGCAATGTGAAAGTGCCTATGTGAATAAAGTATTAGAAAATTAAAAAGTCCTGCAAATGTATCAGTGCAGATGCAATTATTTATCAATTTACATTGTTGTTTGTTAAAGTGCAAATGTATCAGTGCAGATTCATTTTTTAATTAATTTACATTGTTGTTTGTGAGAGTGCTTATGTGCATAAAATATTATAAAATTACAAAGTTCTGCAAATGTATATTATATTTGTGAATTTACATTGTTGTATGTGAATAAAGTATTAAAAACCAGAATATCAATTTTCTTTCTTAACATTTGTTAAAAAAGAAAAGTAGGACTTTTTTTCCTAGGCAAATTTAGTACTTTTTCACCGGTACTTTTTTCCCCAACACCCATGGCAGGACTTTTATCAATAATGCCAATTAACACCTGCCTATGGCAGGACCCTTAATCACTGACTTATCCATATGTTCACGTATCCAATAATGATTCTTTTAACCATTAACATTAATGAATGGTATTAAAATCGGCGACTGATCTGACGACTGCCACGTTAGCAACGCCGCTTTGAGCAATATCCAGCAATATCATACGTAAAATCCGCACATTGTGCCCATGTGGGAAAGATTCTTTTCTTCGGCGTGACCATTAACGCTTAATGAATGGTACTACCCCACCGTTTGTGTATTACGAGAATCCATGTATCGTCTCCCTGACACGACTAACTCAACTGATAAGACCTTACACTGATAGTAGTGTGAGAGTGAGTTCAGTTTTATTCCAGCTGTATGGCCGCGGTCTATAAAAAATCGAGTCTTGACCAGGCAATCCAGTGATCAACAGCATGAGCATCGACCTACGCAATTGGGATACGATGACATGTGTCAACCAAGTCAGCGAGCCTGACCACCCGATCCCGTTAGTCGCCTCTTACGACAAGCATGGGATAATGAAGATCAGTTCTAACCCGGATCTTCACAGGTCCACCCTTCGAGTAAAGTGTAGCCGACTATCGTTCGTATTAATACCAAGGCAGTCTACTACAAAAATAATATTTTCTGATTAACAGGATTGCAAAGTTGTTGTTGTGAAGGCTATCGATTCATTTTGACCGAGGCATAATTGTTGAAGGTGCGCACGATTCAAGGTGAAACAATAATAGCTGAAATCTGCTTGTATGCCACGGACGTGTAAGAGGTATCTGATAAGTAAGGATGACTGACATAGCGGTAGATACAAATACAGGCGTCAGAATGTGTTTGTTTGCCCGTCAGAATAGGGCAAATGGTGCAACTCGTCCTGGGCTTTCTCTGAAGCGAGATTATAGTTGTGACCCTCTCCATGCTTTTAGGATATTGTGACGTGTTCGGTAAGGCAAATCTTGCCGATTAGCATATATCCCATGACAATGTGACGTATGTCAATCGACAGAGAGCAGGGCACATTGCAGCCTAAAGCCTGGAACCTGTTGACATACACGCCCGTAACACTGTATTGAAAGATCCATGCCGAGCCTCAACCACCACCAACAACCCCCTTCCACACCCAGTAGTCCCAGAGTAATTGTTATCCAGTACATCTTTGGTGACTACCCCGCCCAGCCAAGTGATTTTGGAAAGAGGCCAGTGTCATCCACGTTTCAGGTAGGGGTAGCCTAGTTCGCTCGTCACGCCGAAGACCCGGATTCGATTCCCACAGGGGTACTATGTGTGAAGTCTATTCCTGGTGTCCCCCGCCGTGATATTGCTGAGTAATTGCTAAAAGCAACGTAAAACCACACTCACTAACTCACTCAGTCAGTCCATGTTTCATATCTGACCATTCGTTGCTAGCGTTATACGGAATTGTTTTACACTGTGCATTGATCCGCCCCGAAATCCGACCTCTGACATAACAGCTCACACACTATCCTCGAGACCAGTGACGATCCGGGTTAGAATTGATCTTCAGTAACCCATCGTCGTCGTAAGAGGGATGTAACTGGGTCGGGTGGTCAGTCTCGCTGACGTGGTTGACACATGTCATCGTATCCCCATTGCGTAGATCGATGCTCATGCTGTTGATCACAAGATTATGTGGTATAGACTCGATTATTTGCAGACCGCCGCCATATAGCTGGAATATTGTTGGGTGCTGTGTAAAACTAAACTCATTCACATTCACTCACTGTTACTGGTGATGTACAGACATGACTTACCTTAATGAGTTATGACTGGCTACCATAAGTTGGCCAAACTTCTTATAATCTCCATTCTCCAACACGCCAGCCGCTTCTTCTGTTCTCTGAATCTCTGTGATCACGTGACGTATTCTCCGGAACGTCTCAGCGTCAACTTCATCCTTGAAATCTGCAGATAAACATATCGAACACTGTAGCTGTGCATCTTGAAGCAGGTGTAAGGATGGGCCTTATACAAGGTTTGTTATTCTTGGAGACACATTATGCAAATAATTCCCGCTTCTCATTATCTGTCTCTATACATCCCCAACATCGACATGTGAATCAATAGGTAACTGAGCTAGACAGATGGTCCGTCGTCCAGACACTCGAGACAAATAAAGATAGTCCAACTGATGTCTAGAATGATTGAGAAAGCCCCAGATTTCACAGATCCAGCTCCTTCAACTGAGAATTCTTCTGGGCTCCTTAGGATTCGACCTGTTCTTGTTTACATCTTTAATCAATGTCACTTTCCCTGGTTCTCTAAAACGTATCAAAACTGGGTGTTGTTATGTGAGTGAGTGAGTTTAGTTTTACGCCGCACTCAGCAATATTCCAGCTATGTGGCGGCGGTATGTAAATAATCGAGTCTGGACCAGACAATCCAGTGACCAACAGCATGAGCATCGATCTACGCAATTGGGAACCGATGACATGTGTGAACCAAGTCAGCGAGTCTGACCACCCGATCCCATTAGTCGCCTCTTACGACAAGCATGGGTTACTGAAGATCAATATTCTAACCCGAACCTTCACGGGTCGGGTGTTGTTACGTAACGATGTGATACATTCTTAAACAGTTTCGTAATTGTATTACATTGTTTCTGTGAAGATTCAGGCAGTGGTGTGCTAGTTGACTGAGTTTAGAGGAATCTGGAAGGTTCTAGAACAATTACAGAATGTTCCAGAAGGTAGATAGACTATAAGTACGGCAGCCACATGTGTATGATAACTCGCATCAAGACCGGCGCTGTGTGAAGATCGCTGTGTGAAGATCACTGTGTGAAGTTTGACCATAGATACTGCTAGGTGATCATTATCATCACAGGCTTTTTCGCTGTAATCACTGCTTTAGTATTGCCACTGATTTTGTACTGCAGTAGTATACACAATGGGGCTACGGGACCAGCTCACCCCCCCCCACCCCCCCCAAGTTAAAAAATGAGCCCCAGGGTAGAAAATCGGTCAAATAGTTTAGGAAATAATCACTTTTAAGTGAGCAGGGGGTCGGTCTGGCGAAAGGCTAACAATCCAACGTATTGTCGTACTTGTTATATATTATCGAGGCGAGAGGTGTATTCAGCCGAGGAAACGCAGGTCTCGGCAGTCATCATCTCGCTACCATCTCGGGGGTTGCTTTGAGCGAGCGCCGTGGACGAGTATAAGTGTGTGCACGTGTGTGTTTCGGCTCGGCTATGATGATGCACGAGGCTACAGATGTCTGAAAGCGAATGAAACGCATCTCTCGGCAGTTCCTCCCCAGGTCGTCATCTCGGTATCACCGAGCGAGCGCTGTGGGTGAGTCGCAGTTTTACACGCCTGCCCCGGAACGGAAAGACCAGGAACTGATTTTCGTGGTGCTGGGTCTAGCGTCGACCGTGTTGATCGCCAAAATGTTAGACTAAAATATATTTATGTGTATATACATAAAGATGGGAAGGCGTGCACTGTATAACTGCAAGTAAGTGCTGCTAGGAAAAACCGAAACCTGCGGCAGGAAATGCACCACCGAATATTGCGGCATACACATGATTCCCATACGAAAGGTTTTTGTGAATTACACATGCGAAGTTTGCGGCGTGGGTGTGAAATGCCATTATCGTCGTTGCAAAGCCCATGGAGCGGACGTGGTACGAGGCCATCTCATCTACTTGACGAAAAGAGACTATCTCAATGAACGCAACCGACTGCTGAGAATAAAAATCTAACGTGCATCATGGAAATCGCTTTTTTTTAAGTCGGTTGAAAGTTGAAACTATCCAACGTATTAACGGAGTTGCTAACATTTAACAGCGAGACATACTTCGCTCACCAATGAACTACTAATTTTGAACTACTGAGTGAGAGTTTTTTTCGACTCAGCAATATTCCAGCTATATGCTGAACAATCGAGTCTGGACCAGACAATCCAGTGATCAACAGCAAATCGATCTGCTATTGGGAGAGATGTGTCAACCAAGTCAGTGAAACACCACCTGATCCCGTTATAGCCTCTTAACAACCTTTTATGGCAAGCAGGGTTGCTGAAGACCTTTGATCTTCGCGGGTGCTCGCATCATGCCATGAAAATCTATAGAGATTGGACTTCACACCTGATTATAGCGAACAACCTATTAGAGATTTGATTTTGCATCTGACTATAGCGAACAACCTATTCGAGATTTGACTTCGCATCTGAATATAATTATTTTTCATTTTAGAAAGAAGTTTTCACACATTGATATAGCAAGGATGATTACCGTTCGAGAACTGAAAAGGATTGCCAAAAAACGCGGAGTGATCGGTTACTCCCGTTTGAGGAAATCTCAGCTGTTGAGATTGCTCGGCATCATCGACGAACTTCCTCAACCCACGGTGAAACAGCTGAAACTCCAAGAGAAGGAGCGTGGCTCATAGGTTATTCGCGCATGAGGAAAGCCAAGCTCGTCGAACTGCTGGAGGTACACAAACCCGTCGAACTACGGTTCGTGCAGACGAAGCATGCCGTAGGTAAGTATCTGAGAGGCTGGAGGATGGACGTCGACAAAAACATGGACGTCGACGACATCAAACCCCTGGTCGCCGACAAAGTCAACGAGGAACTGAACGATCTGGGAAGCCTCAAATTTCAACTCACGGTGAGAATATCGCTGGACAAACAGCAGACGGACGGCACCACCGAGCACATGCAGCCCTACTTCAGAGGCAAGCAAGAAGTCACGACTCAACCTGAATCCATCAACGCGTCCCGTTGATGTACATGCCGTTCAAAGGAGGAACGTACCTAGACTTGTCACCGTACTACAAGAATAAACAAGCCATGGTCAACGTCAAAACAAAGGCGATGATTGCATGAGGGTTGCGATCAGATCCGCGAAGAACGTCGACATAGCCATCAATATCTTCGGACACGAAGGGAATAAAACGATCGTGCACAGGATCAGCTCCTTCACAAACGACCACCGCAAGACGATCAATAAATTCATGTTCCAGCAAGGTGACAAGTATCACTACACGTGGATAAAATATTTCAACAGACTGTTGTATGATCAATCGAAGCATAAGGAAAAGAAACACTTCTGCAAAAGGTGCCTGTACGGCTTCACGCGAGCCGACCTGCTGGAATCCCACCGGGAGGATTGCCAGGGCGTGGGAGAGACGGCCATCCGAATAGACATGCCCGCCGAAAAGAAAAACACACTAAAATTCTTCAACCACAAACAACAAATGCCCATGCCCTACGTCATCTACACCGACTTCGAAGCCCTCGTCAAAACCGTCGACACAGTCGCGCCGTCGTACGCGGAAAAAAGTTCCATATCACCGGTAAGTACAGAGGTGCCGCTCACAACGCGTGCAACCTGAAGCTCAAAATCGACCCCAAAACCATCAAAATCCCCGTCATGTTTCACAATCTTCGCGGTTACGATTCTCACCTGATCATGCATGCCATCGCGAAGGTTGACAGCAACATAACGTGTATCCCCAACAACATGGAAAAATACATTTCGTTCTCGTTAGAGGGTCTGAGATTTATCGATAGCGTTGAGTTCCTGCTGTCGTCTCTAGACAGTATGGTGAACGCCAACGACCCGGACGACTTCGACATCACCAATCTACACCAACACCGAGACTCAACCTGTGCTGCTGAGGAACGGCGTCTACCCCTACGAGTACATGGACGATTGGTCTAAGTTCGATCAGACGCGATTACCTCCCATCGACCGCTTTTACAGCAACTTGACCGACTCGGCCATCACCAATTTTTAAATTACCCTTGTGGGGTACCTGGTCCCGTAGCCCCATTGTGTATACTACTACTGCCATTCTATTTTGTTCCGGCATTTTAATTCCTTCGCAGTAATTTGAACTGTTTTGTTAAGTTAGTTAATTTTAGAATACATTAAAATTTTGTTAATTTTAGGGCTGTGTATTGGCAAATAAATTGTATTGCAATATATTGCGATTCAGGTATCCGTATTACGATACGTATTGCGATATATTGGGAACTTTAGTTTTTGACAGTGAGTGACACTAACTGTACATGTCGATCCTATTCTCTACATTATACGTCCCTAAACATATATGCTATGGTCCTGATAACAGCAATCTCAAAATTAGGTTGCATAGTCAGGGATTCTTTTTTCTTTCCTATACAATTTATAGTATTACAATCTAGTGCTATGACATTCTCTGTTCTAAAATGACAACGTAATGAATGTATGTCTTTGAAACGAAACCACTTTGTACTTACAATGTATATTAATGCAGACTTGTTCTCGTCACTATATGGCTGGAATAATGCCGATGTGACGTAAAGCCCAACTCAACTCAACTCAACTCAACTATAGTATTACAGTATGCCGTATTGTAATTGAATAACGAAGGAAAATATTTGTTGTTAATGAAAGTGTGTAGATTTTAATTTAAACCATAAAGATAATCACAAAAACTTCATATATGTTCTTTACCCAATATACCGGTTCTCAGAACAAAATATTGCAATATGTATCGTTTAAAAAGCGAATGGCGATTTACCGGTATACCGGTATACCAGTAAAACGGTGCAGTCCTAGTTAATTCTTTTACACTGTTTTCTGTTGGTTTCATAGTATTTCTAAGGGAGATATTTCTGGTTGACTAAGTATTGCATCGTGGAAATCGACAAATATCGGCTTTAAAACAATCTTATCGCGGTTTCGCTCGGACAGAATGTGTGACTATTTGGTATGTATACTTATTACTGTTCATTTTGTAAAAGCCGTAACAATATAGCTACAGTATTCACATTTAATTAAGAGTCTGGCCAGTAAGGATGATCTATTGAATCAAGTGTGTCTATATTTGTACATTCACTCTGTCCAGTACTAATGGTCAATATCGTGTTTCACTCATGGACAAGGAATACCTCTCAAAACCTTATCAAATCGATTTGTATTGTACTGATGCTGAAATAGATCCGTCCTTGTCGATCTGTCCAGAGGAGTATTCCAATTACTTGGGATGCCCTACAAGACATGAATGTTTAATGATTGTACATACAGTCCTTCCCAACCCTCCACCAGCTGCTACGCCTTCATCGCGCTGCAGGACGTATAGTGGCTTCAGACAGCGGGAAACAGCCCCTCTCCAGCATCTTTAATCCCCACGATGACGTAGTTTCGCTTCTCGGGTTCTATTGACGTACCGCACGGAGATAGCTACATCGTTACCTGAGTTACTGTCACGTGACTACCACCTACCTGCCAACTGATCTGGTGTCAAGTCGGCGGCTTCTCGGAGACTTTTCTTGCCCATGATTTTGGAGGCTGTTTCACACTGCCGTCTCCGCGTGGGGTACTCTGACCCATTCAGTTCGTGTTTGACGTTCGAGTTGGTCACCAAGACAACCACCTCGGGGTCAGTCATGGGCACTAGTCGACCTTCAAAGGACCTGAAAAAAACAAACCAGGGTTACCTTGGTAACGGAATAAAGGTTTAACTTGATAACTCAACTCATTTGGATTGGCGAAAAGCTGATTAAAGTATGAGTATACAATTACTAAGAAGATGGCACATCGCCGGACAGAGACCAACCCGTGAGAGAATTTATATAAGCCGTTGTTGGCATACTCAAGCCGAAGTTGGAAACCAGTGTGTTTAATCAAACTTGTTCGCCGGACTGATAGTGTATTACAGGGGTGGAAATAACCCATTGCCCGACGTCCGAGTCCAGTGTTTTTTTCTGTCGGGCAAGCAAATTTGTATATCACACTGTACCGGTGTCCAGTTGACTTTCCACTGTTAATTATGTTAAGAAAACGGCCGGTATAGAAGAAACATGATCAGGGCAAGTGAGTACCGGAGTACACTAGCAATTTTAAAGTTACTTCCACCCCTGTATTACTATAACTAATTGTGCTTTGCCTCACTCTGAAGCCACATCGCCGTAATAGTAACCACATATTGTGTCCACGAGTAGGGTGAGGTCAGGTGAAATGAGGTATAACGTCGTACTTTCGAATATTTCGCTCATATGACGACGTGCATGAGTGTGTATGTGTGGTTTCTTATGCTAGCCCAGACTTAAGTTGGTTTTATAGTGCTGTCTCACTGAGATACCATGCCACAGTTAAGCACGAATACCCCACTCCGAGACAACCAGTCCTTGGTGTGCCCATTCACGCCGAGCACCAGGCAGGGAACAACAAGTACCATATTTTAACGTCTATTGGTATGTCCGCTCCCCGGCGGACACTCTAACCACTACACCACGGAGGCGGTCTTCCACGAGTAGGGGTGAACCGCAATAACCAGGGCCTGAGGTTATGAATGTTGACCTTCGGAAAACCCACGTAGACAGGTGGAGCAGAATGATTAGGGAGTAGCAGATCCTGGTGCAGCTTAAGGCCACAACCCAGCACCACGATGTAATAGGAGAGAAGCAGCCGGACCGCCCTTCAATGTGACGAACTTACCAGAATAGTTATGTGTTGCTATGTCCCCACGGCTACTTTTTTTGACGTTACACACCTCAGCATCACTTGTGTTTTAACAGTTTAATTTGTTGGCAAAAATATCTGTCATATTGTGCACGGATAATTATATGCAGTTCACCACCTCGATTGAGTGAGTGAGTGAGTTTAGTTGTACGCCGCACTGAGCAATATTCCAGCTATATGGCGGCGACCTCGATTGAGAAAGACTGGAGTGACTTTCAATGTGGTTTCCTTCAAGTTACCAATCAAATAGCAATTATTACAATAAATTTATGACAATATAAATCAGCTCTAAACAAACGTGCTAATGTTAGGAGAACATTCACATGCAGCGGTTGATTCAACAGTTCACACATTAGTATTCATAGTCACGTAACGAGAGCAACTGACGGTAAATTTCCTTCGTAATGAGAGAGCGTGACAGCTACGGGACTTCCTCACTATGTCGCGTGACAGTTGCGTGAACCTATTACCAGGGCGAGTGACGGCAAGCTGTCTCTGTTATTGGAGCCAGTGACAGCAACGTGACTATTAAAAGGACGAATTGGTGTCTGACTGGTTGGTTGGTTGTTTGGTTATTACACAGCACTTGGCAAAATGGCGGCGGTCTGTAAATAATCGAGTCCGTACCAGCCAATCTAGTGATCAACATCATGAGCATCGATCTACGCACTGGGATACGATGACATGTGTCAAACACGTAAGCGTGCCTAGCCACCCGATCCCGTTAATCGCCTTTTACGACACGCATGGGTTGCTGAAGACCAATTCGAACCCGGATCTTCACGGGTCAGTTGTGATCTGAAGACTATATTGTTTCAGATGTAGCTTGGTAGTCGGGTAGCCTGGCAACCAGGGACATTTTTTCACCTAAATAGCTGTCCTAGCTCTGTGTTCATTTACATACTCAGTCGACGAAACATGCACACTTAATGATGTTGGATGTTTTAAATACACGTGACCTTCTCCCTCATCCTCCTTCACCCTCAGTGACTATTGACATCAATTCAATATTCAAATATTATATCTCGCAAATCCCTATACCTGCAGTCTATGAGGAGAGCATGTGAAGCCTTGCCCATCGTTGATATGTACTGATCCATGATGCCGCATGGCACGTTGGCGAAGTCGTGCTCGGCCTTCTGACACGCCAACACCTTCTGCATGGTCTTCACGTTCTGACCATCGTCGGGACACAGCTGCTGCAGGAAGGTGAACGTCGCCACCTCCAACGCCGCAGAACTGGACACACCGCCTCCTACGGGCACCGTGGACACAATCACCGCGTCAAAAGCTGGTACTGTACCTGTAAATAACAACAGGGTCTTGGTGTAGGGTTAGATTGGAGGGTGCGGCTGGCTGAGAGGGGTGGTCAGCGAAGGAAATACCTTGTGTGTAATAAATAAATGGACAATTAAGCATGCTATCTGTATCATGGTGACACACGTTCCTGCCGTGGGATGACGCTTGCCCGTCATAGTACGATGCCACTAATACAATGATACGTATACCATTGTCTTCAGGATATAATTAATAAGACCTTATGCTCACTACATGGTAAAGACGACCTTATACAGACGATACAATACCTATTCCTATACTGTCACGACACGTAAATATGACCATATTGTCTTCACATTATCTTATTTCGCGAGACAGCAAACACGTGCATATTTTCAATGCGGTTAATATGATGTCATGGTCATGATACTGTAAAGATGATCACGATCTAGTATATATTATCTTATTCTCACGATAGGGGAAATATCCCTTGATGCTGAAACTACGGTAAACAGGAGCGTATTCTCACGATAGGGGAAATATCCCTTGATGCTGAAATTACGGTAAACAGGAGCGTATTCTCACGATACGGTAAATATGCCTTTATGCTCAAGATACGGTCGGAGCGGTTGGGTAGCCTAGTGGTGAACGCGCCCCCCTCATCACGCTGAAGACCGGGGTTCGATTCCCTACATGGGTACAATGTGTGAAGCCCATTTCTGGTGTCCCCCCGCCGTGATATTGCTTGAATATTGCTAAAAGCGACGTCAAACCATACTCACTCACTCAAGATACGGTAAACATGAACATATCACGATACGGTAAATATGCCTTTAAGCTCAAGATACGGTAAGCATTCTTATTCTCATTCTCAACAGTAAATATGAGATATTCTCCTCAAGGCACGTAACCTTTGACGATTTCTCCCACACTATAGATTGCAACACAGGTATCTGGCTGGCTCAGCTTATCTAGCAAACAGTTGCATCAAATGAGCGGAAAGGTATCTCCCTTGCACGAGTGCAGTAATCTGTTTCTTACACACCGTCATAACGTACCATTTACAACCCAATCGATGCACATTTGGTCTTTACTCCTGATAACAGTCTTGTGTAAATGCGTAACACAAGGGTCACTTGTGACGTCAACCAGATTACTACTGCACAATGCGTACCAAGTGTGAATCTTCGTCAAACACCTTCCGCCAAATTTGTTGATTATCTAGGCGGTGATGATGATCCAAACAACAAAGATCAAACAGTTACTGAACTCTAAACCCACAATGTTTGCACACAGACGTCGGTGATTTACAATCGGGAATCCAGTCCGTCATTATTTGACCATTCACGGACCTGGAATTTGATCTCAATCCGACACTTTTAACCTAGCGGTCCACTATTAAACTATGTTACAAATAGCCTGTAATACATTCACCAGGCTCCCCTTTAACCCCTGTTTATTTCAAGCAGCTGCAAACCCAGTCTCATCTCTGAGACTACTACACCGAGATCTGGGGGGTCCTGATTACTACAGATTTCCTTATTGAACTAATAATGTAGCTAACATTATAGATAACTTTATAAGCCAGGTACTCTGAGTACTACGTGCCATTAACCCCAGCATCAAGATACCGTGACACAAACACCACGCGGTACAATATTTACGCCACTAGGATGAATGCGAGTAACATGACAGGTATGTATTGACGGGATGCCGATCCGAGTACCATGACACGTATGTAATGACGGGATGCCGATCCGAGTACCAAGACACGTATGTATTGACGGGATGCCGATCCGAGTGACATGACACGTATGTATTAACGGGATGCTGATCCGAGAAACATGACATGTATGTATTGACGGGATGCCGATCCGAGTAACATGACACGTATGTATTGACGGGATGCCGATCCGAGTACCATGACACGTATGTATTGACGGGATGCCGATCCGAGTGACATGACACGTATGTATTGACGGGATGCCGATCCGAGTAACATGACACGTATGTATTGACGGGATGCCGATCCGAGTAACATGACACGTATGTATTGACGGGATGCCGATCCGAGTGACATGACACGTATGTATTGACGGGATGCCGATCCGAGTAACATGACACGTATGTATTGACGGGATGCCGATCCGAGTAACATGACACCTATGTATTGACGGGATGTATCCGAGTAACATGACACGTATGTATTGACGGGATGCCGATCCGAGTAACATGACACGTATGTATTGACGGGATGCCAATCCGAGTAACATGACACGTATGTATTGACGGGATGCCGATCCGAGTAACATGACACGTATGTATTGACGGGATGCCGATCCGAGTAACATGACATGTATGTATTGACGGGATGCCGATCCGAGTAACATGACAGGTATGTATTGACGGGATGCCGATCCGAGTAACATGACACGTATGTATTGACGGGATGCCGATCCGAGTAACATGACATGTATGTATTGACGGGATGCCGATCCGAGTAACATGACATGTATGTATTGACGGGATGCCGATCCGAGTAACACGACACGTATGTAATGACGGGATGCCGATCCGAGTAACACGACACGTATGTAATGACGGGATGCCGATCCGAGTAACATGACACGTATGTATTGACTGGATGCCGATCCGAGTAACATGACACGTATGTATTGACGGGATGCCGATCCGAGTAACATGACACGTATGTATTGACGGGATGCCGATCAGAGTAACATGACACGTATGTAATGACGGGATGCCGATCCGAGTAACATGACACGTATGTATTGACGGGATGCCGATCCGAGTAACACGACACGTATGTATTGACGGGATGCCGATCCGAGTAACATGACACGTATGTAATGACGGGATGCCGATCCGAGTAACATGACACGTATGTATTGACGGGATGCCGATCCGAGTACCATGACACGTATGTATTGACGGGATGCCGATCCGAGTAACATGACACGTATGTATTGACGGGATGCCGATCCGAGTAACATGACACGTATGTATTGACGGGATGCCGATCCGAGTAACATGACACGTATGTATTGACGGGATGCCGATCCGAGTAACACGACACGTATGTATTGACGGGATGCCGATCCGAGTAACATGACACGTATGTATTGACGGGATGCCGATCCGAGTAACACGACACGTATGTATTGACGGGATGCCGATCCGAGTAACATGACACGTATGTATTGACGGGATGCCGATCCGAGTAACATGACACGTATGTAATGACGGGATGCCGATCCGAGTAACATGACACGTATGTATTGACGGGATGCCGATCCGAGTAACATGACACGTATGTATTGACGGGATGTATGCGAGTAACATGACACGTATGTATTGACGGGATGCCGATAGTGGTCGACTGGGATCTACCCTTAGGTAACAAACCGGCTTCACAAAGACGCCAAAGACAACCGTTTTAACTTTGAAGAAAGAATATATGTACGAAAAGACAACCCGAACTCAAGCGATCGTTTCCTAAACCGGCGCCACTGAGTATCTAGTCGAGGCCTATTGTGAATTGTGGAGAAACATTAAGACCTCATTATAGACTTCATAATCTATCAATCTGCAAATATAGGGATCAATGCACACGACATTATCCACACGCATACTGGTGTGTCTCGCGTGTGTAGGTAGTGCCCCTAATGACGCATAGCCACTGTGATGACTATTTTCAACAATCGCAGCAATAGTACTGGTATCAAATACAACGCGACCGATTAGGCCCCCAGAAAATATGCGACCCTATGCTAAACAACACACACACACCAAGATAAAATAGGATACGGACATATATATGTTTGGCCTTCCTCTGTTCACGAGGCGGTATGTCTCACAATGCTATTGAATGACAGGTGTGTCACACAGTGTCACCACACGACCAGGTATGTCGCAGTGTCACTACACGACCAGGTATGTCGCAGTATGTCGCAGTGTCACTACACGACCAGGTATGTTGCAGTGTCACTACACGACCAGGTATGTTGCAGTGTCACTACACGACCAGGTATGTCTCACAGTTTCTTCACTGAGCGATAAGGTATTGCGCGAATGACGACATAAGCCTTGTGGTGTACCTGCCCTCCAGGGGATCGTTACTCAAACACAGCGGAGCTGTCATGACCGGTTCTGTTTAATCACGTCCAACACGTAAAGTAACTCAATACCCATACAACATGACCCCAGCGGGATATAGGCGGCGCTACACCAAGTATGTTCAACCACAATGTCAGCACAAAATAATGAATGAAAGTCCATACTTTACATTATCGTCCAGTTTATTTATTTGATGTCACTAAAAGACAATATAGTTTTCCTATGCCTCTTCATACATATAAATAGAAATTGATTCGAATTGCTGTCGAATTCTGGCCCTGATGTTCTCACAGAAGTATAGCTAGGCACACGTCAGTTCATTCATAGCTATTTGAGGCAGGATTGGTGATTAAATGTCGTCCATAACATTCCTAACGGACATATTCTTATGCTAAAGAGCTGAGACATTCACGGACTGAGGGCCACTTCTGCAATTTAAAATACCTCAACGTCAGAAAATCGGGACTGGAGTTGTTTACACCATAATTCACTATATTATATTACGGATCCCGAAGAGGAGGGAAATGAGTTTTTCTGAGAGGGAAAATCAATCACGGAACAAAGAAGGAGACCTAATATGGATTTCTGAACATGATGGCATGAAAACAAAAACCCTTTGACGTCAATGATGTCACTTGACAAAACACACGTTAACCTCGGCTCAATCAAACAGCCGTTTTCAGTCATTTATCGGTTAAGTTAAACTGGCACATGAAAACACGTCGGTAAGACGCGTTCATTGTAGCATTATCAAATAGCGAGTAGCTCGCATCGAACCACTGGCTTGTGGTATAAAACATAAGGCGAGACAGATAAAACCACATATACCCCTCTTGATAATATATAATATATATGATATTTGGCATTGTTATCCTAACCAACTGATCTGCACGACCTACTTGTGAAGCAACATTTCAAAGACACGCAAGGTGTGGATTAAATCATGGCGGACCTTTGTGGCATAACGTATCACTGCTGTGCTTTTGTAATCGCTCTGCACTTTTAACATTCAGCGCTGTGAAATAGTTTCAGGTGAACCACATATATAGGTCTACTTTGAAAAGATGTATGTTTTTATTACATATATACACGTCACTAAGGTGTGTGTTGTAAGTTATTAAAATAAAATTACCTGGGAAGTTGGCAATAACACCTTTGAAATAGTTCGCCCATTTGGGAGTTCCAGGCGACAGGGGCGTTGTCTCCGAATGGGGAGGGAATTCTATGAAATGGGGTGCGTCAACGCCCTCAGCCTTCGTCAATACTCGGCATTTACCGACGTCGTTCTTGCCTCCGACTACCACTGTCACCATTGGCAACGCCTGCAAAAAGGAATGGTATGACATGGTAACAAACGCATGGATTTCATCGCCAACTGTTTATTTCCAGTCCGGGTGGTCAGACACGCTTAACCTGACAGTATGAAAACATAAAACATTGTTTATACTATGACTGGTGTGTCTGGGCCAGATTCGAACAGCCAGCTGCTATCGCATACCAGGAGATTTGAATATATTAATATTTATGTTTGAAACGATGGATGAACATACACACTCATACCCCTAAGCTATACAATTTTTCCTGTTCCATCTGGTTCCTTTACCATGAAATATACATGTACAATGTAGACCGCCCTAACACCCATTAGATAGAAGGTACTATGTGCTTCAGACACGTTTAAAGACTGGTAGTTAATGAGAGGAACAGGTTTACTGTATATCCTGTTTATTAAATCACGTCACCGTATCCAAACTGGGTAGATCGATGCTCATGATGTTGATCACAGGATTGTCTGGTCCAGAGTCGATTATTTACAGACCGCCGCCATATAGCTGCAATATTGCTGAGTGCGGCGTTAAACAAAGAAGAAATACTACATGATCCGACCCACATTAGCACATTGCTACGGTGCGGTCAGGAGTGAGAAAGTGAGTTTAGTTTTACGCCGCACCCAACAATGTTCCAGCTATATGGCGGCGGTCTGTAAATAATCGAGTCTGGACCAGACAATCCAGTGATCAACAGCATGAGCATCGATCTACGCAATTAGGATACGATGACAAGAGTCAGCGAGTCTGACCATCGTGTTAGTCGTATCTTACAAGTATGAGTTACGGAATATATATTCTAACCCGGATCTTCATGGGTGCACGTGGTGCGGTCAGGCATTACAAATACACATTCTAGAGTATTGTATCATAATTATCAAAGCCTGGCAATCGTTTATCAGGAGGACATTCATGAAACCATCCTCGTTTCCTTCCTAGCATGTAATCTGTGTGGTGTGTATTCAATCGTCATGGTGACCTACGCATGAGTCACGCTGACATGTCACAATCATGCCAACATTTTACAGATACATTCCGGCAAATATACTAGGAACAAGAAAAGTCAAGGATAACCGCATTTTGAAAAACTGCGCGTGAGACAAAACATACGTGTTACTTGTATGCTGGCAAAGCTGGCATATTGTTAAAAGTTTGATAAAAACACTCCCTCGCTGAAAACAGCATGAGTAATGACGGCTTAAGACTGCGGATAATGTCAGCTATATTTACACAGAGGCTGTCTGGATGATGTGAGACACGTACACTTGTGACACACACAACTATCATGACACGGAGGAGTCAATACAGGCAAGGCAGACAATCACACACACGTGGCCGCATATATCAAGTGAGTCTAGTTTTGCGCCGCACTCAGCAATGTTCCGGCTATATGGTGGCGTTCTGTAAATAATCGAGTCTGGACCATACAATCCAGTGATCAACAGCATGACCATCGATCTACGCAATTGGGAACCGATGACATATGTCAGCCATGACGGCCTGACCACCCGATCCCGTTAGTCGCCTCTTACGACAAGCATGGGTTGCTGAAGACCTGTTCTAACCCGAACCTTCACGGGTCAACTATCAAGTAGTGTATATTTGGTAAAATAAATAACGGTAAGATTTTCCAGTATTCATAATGACACTGGCAATAGCAACACCCGCTTCAGTTTCTAATAAAACTATATTTTGTCACTGTTCTTGTTACTCGTACTTGAATACTGCATACTGCATACTACTCAACAGCAGTGATATAAGAGGGTCATTTGAAGCTAAATTAAAAGAAAGACATTGAACAAATTCATAAATCTTTATGTACCCTATTATGTTTTTGTAAATGTTCAGTATGCTATAAGGGCGGTGCTGTCGCCTAGTGGTTAAAGCGTTCGCTCGTCACGCTGAAGACCCGGGTTCGATTCCCCACATTGGTACAATGTGTGAAGCCCATTTCTGGTGTCCCCCGCCGTGATATTGCTGGAATTTTGCTAAAAGCGGCGTAAAACCATACTCACTCACCCACTCAATATGCGCATCAAATTGATTGTGTCCATGTCCAGCAAACCACACTGGTGGACCTAGACTGTCTCACAGTCCCTGAACCACCTTATTTTCCTCACTGCCCCGCCCCGCCCTCCCTGCAATGCTAAAGCTCTTAAAGACGCAAGTCTCGATTTCCTCGGGTTCTGAATCTCCCATCTCAGTGGGGCTCCTTTTCAATTTAAATGTTACTCTTAATTATATATATTCAGAGACTAAGCGTTAGTCTATGGTGAGTGGTGAACACTAAAGCGGTTTTACAACCCGAGTAACATTAAACATTTACCATGATTGTCTTTCATACTATCGACAAATCGCCATGCATCTTTTGACTGCAGTGTAAAGTAAAATATACGAGTGGACTTATTCTAATTCTATGAACTCGCCGTTAGAAATGTCCACTGGGATTCATACTGATCCCTCAGAGAACAATGATCATCAAACACTGTTCTCGATCCATCCTCGTTAATTCCGTGGGTAACATATCCTTATGTTTATCGTAAGACGATAAGGGAGGCATAAAACGGTTTAATAAGTTTTCTTCTCTGGACACCTTGTGGTAAAGTTATTCTTTAATTTAAGTAGGACAAAGCAGGACACTTCTAGTAGCAAACAAGCAGTGGGGGAATTAGATCGCCGTAAGTCCAATAAATCATGCGTACAGACAACCGGGTCGTGATGTTGTTGGCGTGTCAGAAACAGAGGCGATCAGCCAATCAGCCTTTAAGGTGTGTAAATATTAGCCAATCACAGGCGAGTTGTGTCTGCAGTATTGCATCACCAGTATGCGCGAGCGATCGCCGTCTCGAGTTGATTCAGTCCATAATGTTGACTGGCGTTTCATGAATTACATCCAACCCACGACGGATTCGTTTTCGAAACATCTGTAGCTAAACAGTTTGGGTGTATTGCAGCCATATGCGTGGTGAATTTATTGGCCGCTTGAGAACGTCCGCAAACAGAATATCCGGGAGCACCCGCGTATATATGACCCATTTTTGTGTATATCGGTGTGTCATTCATGTTTTTATTCTAATGACCAACCCACAAATCAGCACATGTACTTTGGCATCAACGGTTTTCAGCCTATTCGAGGGTTGCCACAATAAAGTCAAACATAAATTCCATACCTCAAATATTTCTCCACGCATACATTCTGGCTATATTCATTCACAAAATGTCTGAAACTTCCCTTTCAATTTGCCATCACTCAAAATTAACATGGGCATCTATCGACCAACCTATCAAAAATGGAGACACGAGCATATCCCACCCCGCTTGATCAGTGAAGCCTGAAGCGAAGCGTGGCAGTCAGGCTCCTACATTCAGTAAGCCTGGCGGGGTCTTGACAAAAATATACAGCTGAACACGATCTGCCCACAGAAATAGGCCTTACCTTCTAGTCTCAACATGAATGACGAATTTAGAAACGAGCGCTATTGTTTTCACAGCTGTTACTGACATTTCTCAAATATAAGAGTTCAGAACACGATTTCAGACTTTCACTTACCATGGGAAATACGAAGCCCTCATTATAATCTGTGTGTTCGCCGATCAAATTCACGCGACCAGGCGCACATGCCGCTAAGTTCGGATCCTTGCCAAATTTATCTCTGAAATATGCAGCCGCTTGCTTTAGAGTACTTTCCACGGATGGGGTTTCACTTGCCATGTCCGTTTAATGTCTGTAGAGATAGAAATCTGATGACAGTTGAATTGGTTACGTGTCCCTGCGTTCAGCGACTCGCTCGATATAGCCGTATGTGCTGTGTGTCGGCTTCCGGCTATGTGCGCAACACGGGTTACACAGGTCAAACGTGGTTCAAGGTCACCAGTCGTGCTTGACGTCAATTTGTAAAGAACAGGTATTTTCAGAAAGCATGCTTGCATAAGTTCAATAACATTTATTCGTCATATATATATTAATTACAAACCATATTGATATCGATCACCATAATGAACGTCAGTGCTGGTAGCAATGTACATCGCATAACTTATTGATTATTTCAGTCATTGGTATTTGGCCGCTGTATTCCTTCACTGTTAAACGCGGCTGTTCCACTACAGCAGTTGATATACACGTCCATTCTCTTCTATACGGTATCAGATTTACCTGTGGCAGTGTCATCGAGCCAATGTAATTAAAAAAATGTAACTAACCAATACATGTACCACGTTTGTTTTCAAATTAAAAAACACCCACCACACGGTGACACCAGAAATGGGCTTCACACATCCTAGGCAGATCCAGAGGGGGTGGGTGTACACACACACACACGCACACACACACACACTTTTTCCTGAATGCTAGTTAAATGACAATTGAAACTCATGTGAAACCGGGTGAAAATGAAGTGTGCAAAAACCACCCCACCCCCACCCCTTCTCAAAAAGAGGGCAAAAAAACCCCACCCCCCTTTCTCGAGAAGATGTATCCACCCCTGCACATCGGGGTGTCGAACGATCACTTTAACCACAAAGCTCCCCCACCGTCCCTGATCCGGTGCAGAAGAACTGACCCAGAGCAAAGTTTCCACGTGTGCAGACAAAAGCAATAGCACACAGCTTAAACAATATTGATATCACATGATGAAAACTGATATGATGTAACTGCATACAGGTGCATGGTGATTTAGGATCATCTGTCCTAGTTTTATAATGAATTCTGTCAGAAGAGATTCATGCATGCGTCTGAAACACATGCAGCATATGATTACTACAACTTTCCCCATCCATGCCAACACATCGGGTATTACTTTATTGAAGTAACTGCAGTCAGTGGAATGGATAATTCTTATCAAACAAGTAAAAATCGGCTGTAATCTTGTTCCTATTTCCATTAAAACAAATCCGTCATTGAGAGTCTGTCTAAACAGATACACTGCCACAGGGCCACACTGATTTCTTCGTCATTAAGTACAGTGTACAGTCTCAGAACAAACGTGGAATGAAACGCAGTGTACTGACTGACTGACCGACTGAGTTTGGTTTTACGACGCTTTTAGCAATATTCCAGCAATATCACGGCGGGGGACACCAGAAATGGGCTTCACTCATTGTACCCATGTGGGGATTAGAACCCGGGTCTTCGGCGTGACGAGCCAACGCTTTAACCACTAGACTACCCCACCGCCCCGCAGTGTACTGAATATCTACAACACTGGTAAAATTAATCATGAAAACTAAGATCTAGATTTTCCGCAGCATTCATTCAAACTGCAGCGACCCATGCAAAACCCGTGTCTGGAATTCGTCAGAACATAAAATCTTTATATCTTTACAGCTAATCTTGTATTTAAATAGGTACATCTAAAACTAAATATCTGCGAAAGAGAGTATTCTACTTGAAACTGTTCCATCGAACAGTGCACCTCGGTTTGTAACGTTGCATTTAAGTTTCAAGAGATTTAACCCTTCAGAGATTATCTGGTCAAGGATTACTGGTGTAACAGCACGTGAATTGCGTCCCGCGGGTGCATCAAATAACAGTAAGTCATCACAGTCAAGAATGAAATCAGTATCTCCATAGAGCAAGTTTTTCAAGCATATGTTTGTCTGGTAATGTATCTGTTGAACTAGACATGAATCAGATGTATAGTTTCTACGACTTACCTGTTTTATGTAGAGGTACACGTATAGTTAGAGTAAAGTACATCGTGAGTCATTACGGTAGATACGTTGCGTTCTATGATGTGTCGTCTTTAAGGGGTTGACCTTCTTAATGCAGAGTTCAAAGAGACACGTGACGCTCTGTTTAGGGAGGTCAAAGATACATGTCACACTGTTTAGGGAGGTCAAAGATACATGTCACACTCTGTTTAGGGAGGTCAAAGATACATGTCACACTCTGTTTAGGGAGGTCAAAGATACATGTCACACTCTGTTTAGGGAGGTCAAAGATACATGTCACACTCTGTTAAGGGAGGTCAAAGATACATGTCACACTCTGTTTAGGGAGGTCAAAGATACATGTCACACTCTGTTTAGGGAGGTCAAAGATACATGTCACACTCTGTTTAGGGAGGTCAAAGATACATGTCACACTCTGTTTAGGGAGGTCAAAGATACATGTCACACTCTGTTTAGGGAGGTCAAAGATACATGTGACACTCTGTTTAGGGAGGTCAAAGATACACGTGACGCTCTGTTTAGGGAGGTCAAAGATACATGTGACGCTCTGTTTAGGGAGGTCAAAGATACATGTCACACTGTTTAGGGAGGTCAAAGATACATGTGACACTCTGTTTAGGGAGGTCAAAGATACATGTCACACTCTGTTTAGGGAGGTCAAAGATACATGTGACACTCTGTTTAGGGAGGTCAAAGATACATGTCACACTCTGTTTAGGGAGGTCAAAGATACATGTCACACTCTGTTTAGGGAGGTCAAAGATACATGTCACACTCTGTTTAGGGAGGTCAAAGATACATGTCACACTCTGTTTAGGGAGGTCAAAGATACATGTCACACTCTGTTTAGGGAGGTCAAAGATACATGTGACATAATGTTTAGGGAGGTCAAAGATACACGTGACGCTCTGTTTAGGGAGGTCAAAGATACATGTGACGCTCTGTTTAGGGAGGTCAAAGATACATGTCACACTGTTTAGGGAGGTCAAAGATACATGTGACACTCTGTTTAGGGAGGTCAAAGATACATGTGACATAATGTTTAGGGAGGTCAAAGATACACGTGACACTCTGTTTAGGGAGGTCAAAGATACATGTGACGCTCTGTTTAGGGAGGTCAAAGATACATGTGACACTCTGTTTAGGGAGGTCAAAGATGCATGTGACACTCTGTTTAGGGAGGTCAAAGATACATGTGACACTCTGTTTAGGGAGGTCAAAGATACATGTGACATAATGTTTAGGCAGGTGAAAGATACATGTGACACTCTGTTTAGGGAGGTCAAAGATACACTTGACGTTCTGTTTAGGGAGGTCAAAGATACATGTGACACTGTTTAGGGAGGTCAAAGGTACATGGAACACTCTGTTTAGTGAGGTCAAAGATACATACTACACTCTGTTTAGTGAGGACAAAGATGCCAAAGATACATGGGACGCTCTGTTTAGGGAGGTCAAACATACATGTGACATAATGTTTAGGGAGGTCAAATGTACATGGAACACTCTGTTTAGTGAGGTCAAAGATGCCAAAGATACATGGGACGCTCTGTTTCTGTCAGTTGAGAAACTGACCTAGTCATAATGAACAGAGGAGTATACTTTAGGAAATCGAATTTGACCAAGAAATTACAAACGTTAGTGGCCTGATTGTCTCGGATCTGTGTACCAGCTGAAACCGATAATGAAAATACCTGCCTCACTCGGCTTATTACATTACCAACAAATATTCGTTTCATCCTTGTTTCAGTTTTAGCCAACACCTAGGGAGGATGTAGACTCATTTTAGCCCGGCAGTTAGTGTGAAAACGTTTTCTAAAAATGCCTCCATATTAAGTGTTACAATAAACTTATCAAATAGGATTCTATAATTTCTTAGATCTTCGATGTATCACATGTACATGTTTGTGAAGACCCGTCTGCAGGATCAGAAGTATGTAATTACGTTACTACCCCAAGCTTACCTATAATATCGTCTATAATATTCCGTTCATGTAATTGACGCATGCCACACATTCCATTATAGTTATTTGTCAAATTCAATAGCACAAATCATCCATAGATATACAAATTATTCGCGGCATTCCCGGAGCAAGCTGTGTTAACGCTAAATTTGCTCTTAAATATTTAGAAAAACAACCCATTACAGCCGGTTTGAATACTTCAGTCAGTTTCAAGTTCTGTCGCCAAACAGCTGCATTGTTCTACAAGCCTGGTTTTAATGGGGACGGTTTCAGAAATTAGCTGTTTTATAAGCCGATACTGTGTTCTCGCCTGACAATGTAGCACGGTTCTTGACTCGGCTATATTCGCGAGACTGACAGGTTGAGCTCGTGGGCTTTCGTGTTCTGAATATTCTTGGCCTTTACACACGTTTCCTCCAATGTTGGTGTGAGATGTGGCTGGGTAACACCTGGAGGTGACTGGGAGAGATGCCACGGTATACAGGGATGTGGGGAGGATCCACTGGGAGAGATGCCACGGTATACAGGGATGTGGGGAGGATCCACACACGTGGGGCCGGAACACGCCCTCATTCCCCACGACCTTGTTACTCAAGCCTTGGGCTACTTTTACACGTGTGAACACATCACATACGTGGCAGGCACTTAATATTGTATTTTACAGTCATGCCTATATTACTTGTATGTCAATGTATAATTTTGTAGATATATTAACCATTGCTTTCAAAGCTGCAGGTATATCATTTCTTATTTGTACTAATGAATACATACCCCTGATGATTCGGGTTAGAATTGATCTCCTTCAACCAATGTTTGTCGTAAGAGGTCACTAAGAAGATCGGGTGGTCAGGCTCGCTGACTTGGTTGACATATGTCATCGTATCCCATTTGCGTAGATCGATGCTCATGCTGTCGATCACTGGATTGTCTGGTCCAGACTCGATTATTTACAGCCCGCCGTCATATAGCTGGAATATTGTCGAGTGCGGCGTTAAATAACAAACAAATCAAATCCAATTGAAACTAATGAATACTTTTACAAGAGATCTGCTCATCTGGAAACTGACTATACCAATCTTAACAAAGGTCTGTTATTAGCTATCTAGCCAGTATCATTCTAGTTTATTCAAGGATGGGTAGGTAGGGCCATCACATAATTGTGTGTCCTGATGTAATCAAATCTGGTAGGATCATTCAGACTTTTGTCCCCTTTCCTTTATTCAAATCTGCACTTCAGTTCATCCGCTGCACTACAAGAAGCTTGTTGTGCGTTTTGAATCACCAACTTCTCATTCCTGGAATGTCAGTTTGACCTTTTTAAGTTAATGGGTGTGTATACCTTTACATGCTATATCTTTAATGTGTGCGTGTAAATATATACCGTAACATATGTGTAAATGTACAAGTAAAATAACTCGTCTAATTATAATTAATGTGTTTCTAATTTCCCTATGAGTGAATGGTTGCATGTTTGGACATTTGACTGATGAATGAATTCATTTCATTTCATGAATGAGAGAAAGGATAGCGTAGAGATGAATGTAAGTATGATATTAACGTTTTGATTATATCCCAGGTTTCCTAATGATTAAGACATATCCATTTGTAATTATCATAACTCATATGTTGTATTATAGGATTATAGGTTACGTTTGATGGTCTTGGCCTGATTGGTTGGCGGAGCTGTACCTTTATACCCTAGGTACCATACAGCAGGTAGGAACTACTGTGTATTGGATATATATGTTGACGTAATACTGTGCACTACATCGATTCCATCTGGGCATGTGTAATTAATTCAGAAATCTGTACCCTAACTACATTTATTTCATTCATATGTCGAAAGTAATTCAAGGAGTATTCGACCCTTGTTTTTAATTTGTCTAATGGTTACTCGCATCTAAATGATGTAATGACCAATTATAAACTCTTATGTCTTAATCTTATGTTTTTGTGTGATAAGCAGTGGTGTGAAATGTTTGTATCCACACCACCCGGTTACATACCTTCAAGGGGACATGCATAATTATATTCTCACATGACATTATCCTCTGTCCGTGTGTGTGCGTGCGCGCGCGTGTGAACACATCACACGATCCTTCAATTCCTTTCATGAACAAACATCGAGACAATTCATAATTCAAGTAAATCAAAGTGATGTCATGCAAATTAGCACATCTCTATTATCATAATTATGTACAAATAAGCAACGCAACATACAAAGCATACAGACTGTAATCCACGTGTCAACAATAATACACTACATAAATATCGGCACACTATTGCAGTTAAATAAATCTGACGACCATATTTATATCAATACATTTATTCCTTTCTTTAAAGCTAAAAATACAAAGTTAGCTCACCACTGGATCACCTATACAACAACACCAGTCAGCCGGGTCAGCCTTTGGGGGACCTATACAACAACACCAGTCAGCCGGGTCAGCCTTTGGGGGACCTATACAACAACACCAGTCAGCCGGGTCAGCCTTTGGGGGACCTATACAACAACACCAGTCAGCCGGGTCAGCCTTTGGGGGTACGTGTGATGATACGTGGGTAAAGCATGCTTCCTAAGATCCCCATAAAAAGGTCACACAAGGCAGAAGTTCTTCTTTTTTATTACTAGCAAAGAAATGCACATAGCTTCAAAGTTTTACTGATCTAGATAGGTGAGCTTCCGTCCCTCAGCAGTCACGAAGTTGTGGCTTGTGCAACGTACTCTTGATACTGATAAGCGGTAGCTAGGCACTAACAGTTACCCGAGATCAATAGATTTCAAATGATTTATTTGACGTAATATATCAGAAAAACATCTAGACTGGAGTAAGAACATAACGTTCAAAATAGGTTTCGTGTTTAAAAATATACCTCTCTGGCAATTTCTTATAAATATCTGCTCAAGACAGACCTCCTATAATAAGTGTGTCTCTTATAATAAGTGTTCGCCGTCAAGCTTATTCTGCTCGACTGTGTGGACTTTTCAACTGCGTCGGACTCTCGTTATGAAGCAATAAACCTGAAAGATCTGATCTCACTGGGAACTACTTGAGAGAAATTGGTCTCTATCATAAATTGCAATTGACCTTTCTATTTGCAAACAATACTGTAATGAAGAAATACGAAGTTTAAGGAGCTTTTGTGGATTTTGTAACTGAAATATGTGTGTGCACATACTTCGTCTCGTCGCTATATGACTGAAACAGTGCCGATGTGACGTTAAACTTCAACTGGACCGAACTGAACTGAACTGATCTCTTGATATAAGCATACTGCGTCCACAAGCTGCTTTTCCCAAGCATATACCTGATTTAACCATGATAGCCAAACATGGTATTCCTTTTACGATAAACCTGCTTTCAGACGGGCTACACAGAGTTGGTTAACGGTAAAATATTATATAATTTCCTGTACATTTACACCTGTAAGCACGTCGCCATCACCGATCTACTATATGCATAACATGTATTACTATCTTCATTATCAACCCAATTACAGACCAATCTCTTTAACAAGTTGTGTCTGTAAAACCATGGAACGAATGGTAAACAATAGATTAACATGGTATCTTGAAACCAATAACCTTATAACCAATGTTCAATGTGGTTTCAGGAAAAATCGTAGTACCATTGATCATTTGGTACGCTTAGAATCCTTTGTTAAAAATGCAATCGTAAATAACCAACATGCTGTATCGATATTCTTTGATCTCGAGAAAGCATACGATACTACCTGGAAGCATGGCATTTTGAAGGATTTACATGATTTTGATTTGAGGGGTCGTTTACCTCTTTTTATCTCACAGTTTTAACAGACAGGCAATTTCAAGTCCGAGTGGGATCAACCTTGTCTGACCATTATAATCAGGATCAGGGTGTCCCACAAGGCAGTATTTTGTCTGTCACTTTATTCAGTATCAAGATCAACAGTTTTTCCAAGGTTTTAAACGATTCAATCGATGGATCACTTTTTGATTTTAATATTTCTAGTCGCGGTAAAATATGCATACTATTGAACGACAACTGCAGTTATGTTGTAAACAAAATAAATAAATGGTGTCTTGAAAACGGCTTTAAATTTTCTAAATCAAAAACTAATTGTCTACACTTTTGTAGAAAATATAAACCACATAAGGACCCGGAACTATCTTTAATTGGCACTCCCATCAAAGTTGTCAAGGAGGCTAAGTTCTTGGGTCTATTTTTTTACTCTCATTTAACGTTTAATGCTGCCACATGTTAAATCCTTAAAGCTAAATGCCTGAAGGCATTTGATCTTTTAAAAATCATTTCCAAATATAAGTGGGGAGGGGATCAAGCTACCCTCCTTCACTTATATAGATCACCAGTCCGATCTAAACTTGATTATGGCACCATCGTATATGGTGGAGCCTGCAAAAGCAACCTAAAACTATTAGATTCTATCCATCACCAAGGTCTAAGACTTTGTCGTGGATCTTTTAGAACTTCGCCTGTTGACAGACTCTACGTCGAGGCAGATGAGACTTCTCTTATCCAACGCCGTATAAAATTATCTTTACAATATATTACAAAACTATATTCCAATGAGTCTAACCCTGCATTTAATTGTGTCTTTAATCCTCTTTATGAGGATTTGTACAACAAAAAAGCCTTCTCTTGTTCCGCCTCTGGGGCACAGAATTAAACCATTCATTTCTGCTGCCGGCATTGAGCTGGAAATTATAGCTCCTTCCCGTCTTCTTTCTTCTCCTACTTGGCAATTGGTGAGGCTACAAGTTGACCTCACACTGACAACGTTTAAAAAATCTGAAACAAATGAATTACAATATAAACAAGAGTATAATCAATTAAAAAGTAAATATGATAGTTACATGTAAATTCTTATTTACAGATGGGTCCAAGAATGGTGTCGCAGTTGCTTGTGCGACTGTCATTGGATCCAGATCAATATCATCTAGATTACCAGGCGATAGTTCTAGTTTCACAGCCGAAGCAAATGCCATATAACAGGGCTTAAATATATACAAAAACATCGTAAGTACAAACAATGTATAATCTTTTCTGACTCTCTTTCTTGCCTTCAGGCTATTAAAAATTGATCTTGTAAACGTTCACTTTTAATAGAAATTATTGAATTATATAATGATCTTGCTACAGGCCAATACGACATCGTCCTCTGTTGGTTACTCAGCCATGTTGGAATCTCTGGGAAGACAATGGCCGATCTTGCTGCTAAGGCAGCACTCAACAAATCTGTGACACCACTTCTTATTCCATACTCTGATTACAAAGCTAGCATTAGAACTTACAACCGTGACCTGATGCAGAAGTTGTGGGACGCCGAAGTAGGTATCAATAAGTTACATGCAAGTAAACCAACTATCGGTAACACCTACTTGGGTTGTCAGTCCAGATTTGAAGAGGTCATTACGCGACAATGTCGCATTGGCCACACAAGATATACTCACGAATATTTATTGAAAGGTGAGGATCCTCCGTTTTGTATACCTTGTAATGAAAGAATCACTCTCAAGCATGTTTTGCTTGACTGTATTGAATATTCCACCACAAGGGATAACTATTTTAAATCACGAAGTATGAAGGATCATTTTAATAATATCAGTTATCATTTAATTATTGCATTTTTTAAAATAGAATTAGATTTGTTAAACGATTTGTAGATAGATCAGTATTTCATGATTGGAAGTCTGAATAAGTACCTCAGATTGTTAGTGGCTGTATCCTCAAGGAGGGGTTAAAGTACTGTAAAATTATTGTCCTCCTGAGAGCAGACGTAAGTCCCCAAACAGTAAAATTTCATCTTCCACTTTTTACTCGTAGTATTATTGTCATTTTAATTTGTGGCTAAATTTGCCTACAATCGCCAGCAGCTGAAGGGATGGTGTAAATCCAGTTAGAGTCCATGCAGGTAGCAAAGGTACTGTAAGTCCCCATGGTTCCTAGTATGGTGATCTACCTTCAGTTGTTGGCGATCTATAGCCTGTTTTTATATTGTATCGTCCTTTATAGTTAAAGTATGTTAGATTTAATTACTAGTTTTAAATATATATCTGTGATGATCTAGTTAGTTTTACTGTCCTTTGTCGACAGATATTTTAAATTGATGAACTTGTTTTCATCGATATATGGCTGTGATATTGCCGATGCGATGTAAACGTTTAACTCACTCACTAACTCATTATCAACTCAGTCATGTGCCCAAGGCCGAAACGATCAACTGAAAGCCTAAAATTACCGATTTCTCACCAGTGACCAACTCTAGTTTGGGGTCCCGGAATTTGTAATGATACAGTTATCTTTAAGGTTAACATGGTTATAATCCATGTCTGGGTTAGCCTTGTGAAGTCAGTCCACACACAGGCCTCTATCTTCAAGACCAAAATTCCGAAAGAAAATGCGTACGATATTGACTGAGAATTCTGATAGTGATAGCTACGTTCTTGATATTAGGGGATTCTAATAGTGATATTGCAAAATATCAATGAAAACATAATCTGAAATGTGGCCAAGTGTATACTGAAAGGCAAAAGAAATGTCGTAATATTGGAAATGACATTTAAGTATCAATGGAACATTTGAACCTATTTTTTTAAAATAATACGCCACTGAAATGCAGTACCGACTTTCATCAGAGAAGATAACCCCTCTCCATTGTCCCCCACGACAGTTTTGCCGCTGTTGTGTCCACTTGGATACGTTCCCGGCGGTGACGTTGGGTGAATATGGGTCTCCTGGCAGGACATCGACAAAACAGGTTCCTGGCTTGGAGACGTCGCCGAATGGTAGGTCACTGACTGGTCGCTGGTGGTTTCCTATGGTCACCCAAGCTGTTTCTCTGGCCCTTGCGAATAGGTCTTGCACGTGTTGATGGACGATATGACGGTCCTGGCGACGTGTTGTTACACAGTGCTGCTGGGTGGCGCTGGTGGCGTCGCACTCTAAGACGTTCTATCGTTCGTACGCTGCAACTGAAGTCATTAGCAATGACTCGAGCATGTTGACCAGCGTGCAGACGTCCAATAGCTTGTTGTGGTTGATCTCTCGTTAACCTAGTCATAGCTGCTGTGTTCAGAAAACAAGTGAACGATTGCCATTCAAGCCGGCAGTTTATGCCTGAATGCATTTATGATGCACGTGCATCTCGATTTCAATGTTGTGTTTGTGGGAACTTTTCCCTCTCCAAAAAAACAAAAACATTCTAACTTCAATCTCAAACAATACTTTATTGGGCAATGCAGGCTATACGACCACGATTCATGTTTCCTCACACTTGACTTCTGGTGTATATTTAAAAAAATAGGTTCAAATACTCCATTGATACTCAAATGTCATTTCTAATATTACGACGTTTCTTTTGCCTTTCAGTATATAAATATATAACACAATGAATAAAAGTTAAGAAGTGGATTGTCAGTAGAAGTGTATACTTTCGGAGTGAGACGGGTGGGTTG